CTGTGACTGTGAAAGAGGGATGCAATGGTGTGTAGGGGGGGTGGCGAGGGGCATAAGAAGGGGCAGCATCCTCCTGCTTAGAGCCTGGGGAGGGCCAGGCCCACGTCCCGAGAACGAGCGCGGGGAGACGGAGGAGGTGACCCTTCCCTCCCCCGGGGGCCGGATCGTGAGGATAGGTCCCTCTTTCTTGTCGGACCCTTACCTTGTCCCAGGCGCTGCCGGGGCCTGGGCCTGGGCCCGGGCTGCGGCGCACAACACTCCCGGGAGGCAGCAGGACTCGAGTTAGGCCCAACGCGGCGCCACGGCGTTTCCTGGCCGGGAATGGCCCGTGCCCGTGAGGTGGGGGTGGGGGGAAAAAAGCCACCTTGCTCTCTCTTCCTGGACGTAGATGCAACTATTGATTTAATGACAATGGATTCTCTCTCCTTACCTTTTTTGCGTAACATGGCAAGTGGGTCCCACTGATTTGCCTTAGAGCTCACTCAGCCCGCTGCCCGAGCGGAAACGCCACTGACCGCACGGGGATTCCCAGCGCCGGCGCCAGGGGCACCCGGGACACGCCCCCTCCCGCCACGCCATTGGCCTCTCTGCCCACCTCCCCGCACCCATTGGCCAGCTCGCCGCCAATCAGCGAAGGCCGCTGGAGCCGCCTAGAGAAGAGGCAGTGTTCTGGGGCTCCAGCTCCTCAGAGAGCCTCGGCTAGGTAGGGGAGCGGAACTCTGGTGGGAGGAAGGTCCGGTGGATGCGGCGCGGGTAATGGGTGGCCGAAGTGGTTGTCGCTTTCTCCTGCGGGAAGTCGGGAGTATGTTTGTTACGCTGGAAGGGAAAAGGGTTAGAGGCAGGCGGGAATGCGGCCCTCCTGGCGGCAACCGGAGGGGGAGGGAGAAAGCGGAAAAGGCTCGAATCCGGCTGGAGCCATTGCTCTTGCAGAGGGAGCAGCGCTTCCGGCTCAGCTCTTGTCACTGATTGGCTGCTTCTCCTCCCGCCGCGTGTGAAAACACAACTGGCGTGTTCTGGTTGGGGTAAAGGGCCTGTCAGTTACAGCCTCGTGAGTGCGCAGCCGCTTAGAGACTCTCGCATTGCTCCCTGGGTCGGGTGTGTAGGTAGGTGGGGAGAGTTGGATACGCGGGTGCGGTCGGTCTCCTGCGGGCGGGGAAAGAGGGGGGAGAGGAGAGTCAGGGAAAGTGGCTCGCTCCTCCGCTGGCGTCCCGCCACCCTCCCTTGGAGGGAGTCGGTTTACCCGCCGCCTGCTCGGTTTCGGCATCTGATTGGTTGCTGAAGCCCGGGGGACGGCCCCTTGCTATTGGCTCGGGTCGTAAAAGAGCGAAACTATTGCGAGGGTCGGCTGGGAGGCGGTCGTTGGTACGGTCCTCCCCGAGGCCCAGCGCCGCAGTGTCTGGCCCCGCGCCCCTGCGCAACGTGGCAGGAAGCGCGCGACGTCGGTGGGGGCGGGCTGCCCGGTGGAGGCTTCTGGGTGGTGCCGGCCGCAGCTCCGCCCTGGGCGACCGCCGCCCGAAAAGCTAGACATGCTCGACCTGCTCTCGGACTCATGGGGGTGGGGAAAGGAGCGGGGCTGTCCATGCAGGTTTGTGGGTGGGAGGCGCATGTTCTCCAAAAATCGGCGCGAGCTGCAGTGGAAGAGGTGGAGAGAAGGCCGCACCCTTTTATGCGGAGGGAGGGGAGTACTGCAATACCTTTATGGGAGTTTTCTGTTGCCTCCTGTTTCCTAAGGACCGCCCTGGGTCTAGAAGAATCCCTCCTTCCCCCGCGATCTCTTCATCGCCTCCATGTCGAGTCACTCCCTCTAGATTGTGGGCGGGATTCTTTTGCCCAGGCTTAACCTGGTGCCTGGGCGTTGTCCTACAAGAGTTTGAGCAGGTGTAAGATTTTGAAGGTGAGCCCAATTTCTGTCTTCCCATAGACTTGAGTTTGTGTCACACAAAGTAATTATAATAGTGGAGGAGCTAAGTGGAGTCTAGGCATTCACCTGAGGCTGATTTTACGCGTTGTGACTGGGTGTTAGTACTACTTAAGGTCCTTTTTGTAGCATTTTTCCTGGAGATAAAGTGACATAGACTAAAGGCAGAGTGAGTTTTTTTACTCACCCCATTTGAGACCCTTGCTAAACCCCCAAAGAATGGCATCTTATTAAATCTTAATCTTAAAATTTTAGCCCCCTGCCTTGCATCCCCAGGGTAAGGTATCTTAGCAACTTTTTCTCATACTTTTGAGTCCATTTTCTATTGTCCTTGCTCATCCAATCCCCATACTTGCCATTGGCTTTCTCTCTTGTTTTTAGTAGACTGGTGAGTCATGAAACCAGACAGATTGGTACTACCTCCAATTATGGCTACCCAGCGTGAGCAGAGGCCCCACTTTTATCAGCATTATTTTTTTCCCCCAGCTGGGATTCTACGCTGACCCTTTTCACAGTCTAGGTGGTCTTGACTACTGCTTTACTGAGAATTGGACATGAGTTCAGCAACATCTCCCGTTTACCTCCTTTGAATAACCTCTCAATCCATTTCATTATTTCTATTCTCATCAGTAACTGAGCGCAGTTGCCGTAATAGCTTTCAAACCACTATGTCTGCCTCTGGTATTCTCTTCTGATCTGTCTTACATGTTGCTAGGACTGTTCTAACATACAGGTATGAGCATGAAAATGATGCAACTCCTTTACTGGTTCATATCTACTTAAATAGTGTGAATTCCTTTATCACTGTGATATACAAGGTCCCTCAACGGGCTAACCTCATATGTTAACGGCTTTTTCATTTGCCACAATTTTCCATATATACCTGTCAACATTACCTCTCTACCAAGTCACACTGAGTTGATTGCTGTTAACCCAAATGTAGTGACCATGTCATACCTCTTTGTAGGTGCTTCCTTCTGGAAAGCTACCCTTGATGCTCCTTACCCTTCAAGACTTAAGACTCAAATATTGTCTCCCCTATGATCTTGCCTGCTCTAATCTATTGTCCTATAAGCCAGACTCCCTTATAAAAATTAGCAGTGCTTTCTCCTGATCCCATAGCAGGTTGAATCACAGCATTTCTCAAGTCGTTGTCATTGCTCGTTTAAATTCTCTTAACTTTTGTGAGTACAGGCTCTTGTTAGTGTTGTACCACTAAGCTCCTAGTATATTCTTTGATGTCTAGCCAATCCTAAATAAAATGGAGTGAATGACATTAGTGTCTTTGAATGGTTTATTGGTCTCAAACAGTTCTTTGTATGCTTGCTAGTGCTCTAAATTAGCACTATTAGAACCTTCTGCAATAATGGTAATGGTCTATATCTGCGCTGTACAATATGGTAGCCATTAACCATATATTAAGCACTGGAAATGTGGCTAGTGTGACTAAAAAACTGAATTTTTAATTTTATGTAATTTGTAGGTCTAGTTACAAGCATGTTTGTTGTGGACTGCAGAATACTACATATGGATGTTGATAATTTTCATACTGAGCAATAAGGAAATAAAAGTTGAACTTCTGGCCCATTTAGGTTTTTTTTCCTGCTTGTTTTACCAATTTCTCCACTTCAGTTGTACTCAGCTAAAAGCTGAATCCAACAAACCCTTACTAGAGATAAACTTGTCTTGGACAACATGTTGAGAAGACAAGTGTTGACTAGTTTGGATTTCAAAAAAGAATACATAATGAATTCTAGGAAAGTGGGATTTCATTAAACCTTAATGTTGACAGTTTAGTGAAGAATAAAAGGATTATATCTGAGGTTAATGAAACCAGCCCTAAATTTCAGTCCTACAAATTTTAATTTCTGGAAGAACTTCAGAGGTGGCCCTAAATATCTTAAGTTACAGGAAACGACCACAAAGTAAGTTTCATCCTGATAAAGTATGAATTAATAGATATATTCTAACACTAAAGTGCTTTTCAATTTATGTGCTAACAGCATCTTATAAATTTCAATTATATTTTTAAAAGTTATTTTACTTAATTTTTTAGAATATGAGACACTTAGGATAGGGGTCTTCAAAACTTGAGTGTACACAATTGGCTTGCTATGCAATGCAGATTCCTAGTCCCACACCCAGAGATTCTAAATTTAGTTGAGATGGGAGGAAGGCACTAGAATTCTGTATCTTCTTCAAGTTCCTTATTTGCTTTTGATTTTGGCAGACCAGAAACCACACTGCAAAAATAGCCTGGGGCCTATAGTACAACTATATGACAAAAGATGGTTTCAACTTGAGAAACACCTGTCTTATATGTATCCTCTCCTTTGTCTCTAATTTTTTCCACAACAGAGCTGTTTTTTTCCCACCCAAAAAACTGAATGAGAAGACATTTGAAAGGCAGATAGTAATATTTAATAGTTTTGCAAACTTGCAGGTCAGATTGTTTTTCCCTTTTTTGGCTGTTTTCCCAATTACATGCATTTCTCAAGGATACAGATTTACTTTTTGATTCCCTAGTGCCTGAACATAGAGCTGGGTACTCAGTAAATGTTGGTTTTGATTTATATGTGAAATTGTTTTTCAAATAATAGTCCACAAAACACAGACATAGCCTCCTTTTATGGAGAAACTTAAGGGTTATACTTAACCTAAGTCCCTTAATCTGTTCATAAAGGAAACTGAATGCCTCATGGTCTCTGAAAACATCTGTCCACTGTTTAGCTCTTTCTTGGGTTTCCTGTATGAACCACTGCACTTATCCTCTTACCATGCTTCCATGGGCCTTATTATTTTAAACCAGCAACCAACTCCTTTTGAGGTAGAGCCATTATTATTTCTTCTAGGCAAAAATCACCTATATTTAACACCTGTACTTGTATGAGAGAGTTGAAGGTTTTTTGTAAGGGTTTTTACTTTTTTGATTTGTAAAATTTGAGCTACACAATGTTTTTCATATACTTATGTATGGAGGAGGTTTGGTATAATCATGGTCTGCAACTGTTAATTCAGAACATGATAGGAATCAGCATCACAAGGTTAAGACTGGTTTGATTGTTTTAGGCCAGTCTTAATTGTAGAGCAGCTTGTTAGGTAACATCCAGGAGTCTGGTACTTTGCAGGCTAACAATTCTTGATTTTGTTACTTTACCTAGTGGCATATATTACTTTGTATTTATTGGAAGATGTATTTTTTCTTATTTATGACTCCATTCTTGAAGGAGTAGGTGAGAAACTAGATTGTTGCAGAACTGTTGGTAGCAGGGAATTAAATATTTAGGTTTATTTTATCTAAACCAGTGTTGAACCAGATGAATTATTCCTGATATGATGTATACCTTTGTGCTGAGTAGAGAGACTATTTCTCCTCTGATTATATTTCCAAGCTATGGTTATATTTAATAATCCTGCTTTCCAGTTTTTTTCCTTAGAGTTCAGTCATTACTGACCTTTAGTTTGTCCTGGTATTTAGTCATCCTTTGTTTTTTATTTATTTTTTTTTAAACCATGTTTAAGATTGGCTCTTCCTGATGACGAGTCACATTTTCAGATCATGTTTATAGAATTGGTTATTTTACCAGCTAACTAACCCCACTTCTAGTGTATGGATTCTCATCAACTCAGTCAACATGCTTCACCACTTTCCTACTGACTTTTGGTTAAACTCATCGCACACTTTTTACCATACTAAATTATAGCAACATTCTAGTACAAGTCTTTTAGGAAATTTAATCTGGCTGCAGGATACAGGATGGGTTGTAGAAATGCTGAAATGTGAAGGCAGAGAGACCATTTAGGAGGTTCTTTTACAGTAGTCCAGACATGAATTTATGAGGCCTGATATAATGATGGCAATCAAAATGGAAAGGAAGTTAAAGGACTCAATTACTGATCAAATGTCAGTCACTGAAGACAGTCTCAACAAAGGGTTTCTCAAGGAATCCTTCTTTGATGCTTTCAACTCTGGTACATTGGGTCTTCCACTTGAATGTTGTCATAGCACTTCTCACATTGTAATCAAATTAGTAATTGTGTAATTGGTTGGTTGGTTAACTTTTTTAGGTTGCTCCTTGAGGGCAGGGACAGTACTTGTGTATGGCTGTATCCCTGTTGCCTAAGCACAGGGAAGTCTTCGAGATCAAACTATTTTCACAATACTCAGCTATTATAACCTTTTCATTCTCACAAGTGTGCAGAGCTACATGATGTATGATGAGATCATCACTGCTGTTAATCGAATGGTGCAGTATATCTATTCTTGAATTTTTTAGAATTTCCTAAGGTGGTAGGTTTAGGGTATGAATATTTGTTTAGGAATTAATTTACTTTTTTGGTTATACCTTCTGTAATCTTAGCAACCATCATATTGTGCAGCTGTTATAAAATCCTGTTATTTTCTTTGTGCCAGATTATAAACAAGTACATTCTTATGCAATAATGTTTTAAATATTTTCTCAAAACTTCTAAATTTTTAAATTTAACTACAGCTTCTTTTAGAATTTAATAAGTTCAATAAACCAATTTATATGTTTTTTAAACAATGGATCATTGGTTTAAAAAAGAATAAGATTACTTATTCAACCTACAACTATGTCTAAAAATGCTAAAAAGATGAAATTAATATATTGCAGAATTCTTTGTAGGAAGAATCAACTCCAAAGAAACTATAAGAGAAAGCTACTGAAGTGTACTGAAGTGTAAGTTATTGTATGACATTGGCTGGAGAAACGTACACAATGGCTAAAAACTTTACAAAAAGCCATACACATTTGACACTGCTGAATATCTGCTGGATAAGAAGTAAAAAATCATGGTGCCACTTTTTAACAATAATGTCATATTAAAGATTTGTGTGCAGACATGAAGTCTGCTTTAATCTCACCTGTAGAACTGTAGTTATGCCTTACAAACGGATGAATCTACAAATATGGCTAGGCTTGTTATTTTGCTTGTATTTGTCCTGCATCAGCATCAACTAATCATAGACTCTAAAGTGAAAGCTTGGCAACAAACGTATCCCGAAGTAGTCAAAACATTGAATAACTTAAATTCTGATGCTTTAATGGTGAAAAAACAAAGGTGAGTAAAACTGCCTGCATCTTGGCAGAAATCAAGGCAGTGGCACCAGACTAGTTATTCTTCACTGCCATGCATTTGTAGTCTATACATCTGGGAGAGAGAAGAGAGCAGTTTCACTTCATGTCCTTGTGAAAACAGTTTAATTATTTTTTATATCTGGACCCTGAGTGATGAAATAGAAAATCTGCATATAGTATTTCTGCTACATGCTAAAGTACAATGGTCGTTTCAAGAAAAAGGACTCATTCAGTTGAGCTGCAAGCTGAATTAGGTACTATTTTCTTAAAACACCATTTTTACTTGAAAATGTCAAATTTTGGTTGTCAAAGTTGGCTATTGGGCAGGCATTTTTTCAAATATAAAAGAAGTGAGCCTTTCAAGGAAAACAACTGATAGCAGTGTTGTCAATGATGAAATTCAAACTTTGAAGTGAAAATTAGAATTTTGGGAAAACGTATCCACTATCAGGTGCTTGACATCTTTCGAGAACTTAGGGTTTTTAAAGAGATAATATGATTTTTAGATATATAATGAACTGGGTCAGCATTTGGTATATTTATGTAACTAAGTGAACCAGTATTTTCCAAATGACCAATACACAAAATGACAAAAAATTGCAAGTAACATTCAACCAGTTGAATGCAGAAAGATAAATAGAAGTCCAGCTGCTTTCTATTAACACACATTTGAGAGAACTGAATTGCAAAAATGTAGAACAGTCCACTCTGTTGAAAAGTTACTTCCATGAAAATGTTGATGTAATGCATTTGTTAGTAATCTAAATTTTTCCTCAGTTTTAATTTCTAATACGGCTATTTATGGCCCTCAATTTTTAAGAATGTGAAAGATTCCTGAGATCAAGAAGTTTAAGAAACAGCTGCTCTAGCACAGTGTACATAGTAAACACTCAAATGCATATTGAGTAACTGGATGGAGTTTTTGTTTTAAAAAAATGACTTCCAGTATTAAGCCTGGCAGACTGTGAGAATGGGTATGTTAGGACATGGAGCAGGTTTTAGTGGAGAAGTATATGTTCATGCTGAGTTTGAGGTGGAATGCACAAAGGTAACTAAAGCAGGCAGTTGGAAGTTTAGAATTTGGGCTTGAGAAAAACTAAAACGCTGTTCTCCTTTTCAATGAAAATTCCTTTATCATAGACTATATTATTGAACTATATCACTGAATTATCTACAACTTCACAACTGATTTGCAAACTTGGTAGCCTTTGGGCAAAAGTATAAGGGTGACAATAGGCATGTTTAAACAATAATACATTTTTCTACATTGTGCACATTAAAAATTTTTGGTATAGGAGACATGATGTTTCTCCTGGACTTTTTAAAATTTAATATACTAAGGTACAATAATTTGATTTTTTTCTTTCTTATAGAATTTTTAAATTTACACTATATCTATCTCCACTGATATTCCCACATACCACCACCTGAAATTTTTGGAAAAGGCTGTGCTGAGAATAAGGATGTTTTACTTTTTCTATGCCTATCTCACTAATTAATCTTAACCACTGGTAGGTTTTATCATACTTTAGGTAATTTACAGCCTTTTGAAATACTTCCTTTTGTTCAGTCTTCAACTTACCTTTTGGTCTTTACAGTGGAGACTTGAGTCGGATGTGACACTGATAAGTAAGAATCTAAAGTTTTGGCTGTTTCCAGAAAGTCTTAACCATTTTAAAAGATTTAACAAATGTTTCCTTTTCTTGCCACTAGGTACATTGTCAATCTCTGGGAGGTAACTCTTTCATTAAATTTATAAAATCTGTCTCAATGTTTGTTTTTTTCCCTTTATATTGACTCTCTCAGTTAAAGAATGTCTAGATTATAATTCACTTATTTTGTGTTCAGATTAAGTTCACGTCCCCATCTTTTTACATTCCAATGGTGTAGGAGGCCATAGGCTCTCTACATATTTCCAGCATCTTAAATCTGGTCATGTTTTTACAGTGGTATAAGACGAGGCACAGATTTGATACACTTAAAAGACGATGCCAACATGCAAAAATACTAATTCATTTGTTCAACAAATATTAAATGTCTATTCTGGCAAGCACTGTGCCAAGCACTTGGTAAACTGGTGAGAACAGACATGGTTCCTTGAACTGGGTATTTGCCAGTTCTGTGGACTGCTGACTGACACTAGAGGTTGAAAAGGTTTCTTTTGTCAGACATGAAAATTTACGTTGAACCCACTATAATGCAACTGCATTATGATGGTAAAAATTCCAGGTTAGGATATAAAACACTCATTCTCAAGTGTGAGGTAGTATATCAGAGAAACCAGACTAGGAATGTTGGCTATACTGCTAATGTGACCTATTTTTTTTTCAAAGAAAATAAGTACTATGTCCTTTTATACTAAATGTGAGAGACATCAAAGGTAATGAGTAGTACTCATATTACTAATAGGACACTGAAAATCTAAGCTGAGTACCGCCAGAAACTCCAAAATCAAGTGAAGACTATAAAGAATTCCACATAAAACCCCACGTACTATTTGACCTAGGGGGGAAGCACTGTTTTCACAAGGACTTAATATTGAAGTCATATCATTTTCCAATGTCTCAGGAAGGACTTTCTACAACTGGAAAAGCAACTAAATAGGAATAGTGACCCAAGAGAAAACAAATAACTTAAGTGAAATTTTTAATTGAAAGATAACATCAGTTCCCTGGTCCTTTAAAGAAACTGGGTACTTTGAAAGGTTTATGTTTGACTTTGAAAAGCCACACCACTAATGTGCGCTGAAAGGAAAATTTTTTTAAATTTGACTTTTTGGTCTCATACTTTAACAATGTATTTGCTGCTATTTACAAATAGAAATGTCCTATATTGCTAACAGTAAAGCATCTTTATAATTCCTTTGATAAATCCTAAAGTATTAATCTGAATAACATGACTATTTTAGTTTTTAAGGCAATGGTAAACTTCCTAGTAGGTCTTGTGAGACTTCATCTCATGGGGCAAACCTGTTTCACAAAACATAATAATGCTTCGTCTTTTAAGTTGAGGTAAAGAGAACTTGAGCAACTAAATAGTGAAGCTGCACAGGCAATGAGATGTTGCCTAAGATTCTTTGATCATGTTCTCTGCCTTTCCATTAGGCCAGGATAGCTACAGTGGAAAACAGGAACTATTATAAAGCCTGAAAATGTACTGAACCCAAATCCCAAAGCATTTTAGTAGGCTTAGCATCTTCAAAGCATTTTAAGAAAAGTACTAAATGCCCAACCACCCCTTTAAAGCAGCTCCAAAGAACAATTCTTACAACTTTTTCAATTTCATGACATTCATACCTTTTGCTAACTAGGGTGAAGAGCTTTAGACCAGTTTAAACTGCAGAAACTCGTACTTTTGTTAATACTATTTTCTCCCAAAGCAAGTTAACATTTCTAGTATCAGGAAGCACAAATACTATTTATCATTCTTTGTATTCATTACCAAGGAGTTCTTTATCTTGTTCTGAAGGATGAACAAAAGCTTGAGAAGTACGTTTCAGAAGATAAACTGCAGCATGAAGACCACCGATGTTCACCCAGACAGTATGCACCTTCCGCCATACATGTCCCATTCCAGATAATGCCTGTGTATACACAAAAGGCATAAAAATAATTAGCTTTTATGACTTACCTGCTCTAGACTAACCAGTGGTCTTTGTTGACAATAAGGAACACTGAGGGGAAGAGAACACAAATCCTGCTCAGACTAATATCCCCAAATCTACTTAAGTTCCTAAAGTTACCACAGGCTGAGCTACTGTACAGTACCTTGGTAAAGCATTTCTTGTCCTGAGTAAGTAGTACAGCTCGGCCTGTCCCAGGTCTACAGACACGGCTCATCTCCCGTAGGCAAGCTGGATAAAGGTTCCAGTTTCTCTTCTTGGAGCCCATCCTATTAAAGAAGGTCCAATGAGTCCAACACTTGAAAAAATACCTAGAACTCTATTAAAAGAAATTAAAAACATCGCAACAAGAAAATCCTGAGGTATGAAAAATAGTTGCCATTTGGAAGCTAGAACTTTGCCATTACATGTCAACGAAATGAGTGATGAGACTTTAGTAAATGGCACAGAATCTTAAGGTAAATCAATTACAGAAAAAACGACTATAATAGTTACATAAATTGTCCTCTTAAGCATATTAGCAGACATTGCATAAACCAAACCAGTGATTAGAAATCATTTATACTGAGAAATAGAACCAGGTTTGCTTCAATCTTTCTGTGTGAAGTATGTAATTCAATAATGGACTAGAAAGTAGGTGAATCTGATGGTCAGGATCGAATGTAGTTAATACATTCCTGAGCTCTCAGAAGAAAAAATGGGTGAATCCATTGTCTTGTTATAGTGCATAAGTGAAAAACTTGACATCCTGCTAAAAGGAATTGGTTTCTGATGACAAAGGACAATAGATATAGTAGGTAAGTGGGCACTATGAAGATAGAACTCATTTTTTGAAAAACTAAGTCCCCACCTTTTTCCAAATGGCATGTCTGTTACAATAATGTCCACAGAGCCAGTTCTCAATGGCAGATTGCAGATATCCCATTGAATAGCATCTATTGGCAAGCCCCAAGACAGTTTGCTGTGGAGACAAAGGAAAAGTGCTTCAACATATTCTGAAATATGAAATTAAAAAATTTTTTCTAAAGAGACTGCTATAAAGTACAAAATGCTACTAAAATATCAGCGATAGAAACAAGCAGAATTCTAAAAGAATGTTGGAAGAAAGCATAAGGTAATGAGATACAGCTTATAAGACAATATGAGAATGACAGATTTTTAAAAAATGGTTAAAAGTGATTTTCAAAAGATGTCTACATCTGCTTCATTTACAATTTAAGAAAATAGGTTAAGGGGGAAAACGATTGCAACACAAAGAACTACAACAGACAATTTTGAAAAGCTGTTGAAGCAGTAAATTATGTAACCGACGATGCAAGCTATTGATGAAACATACTGGAAACAATGCTAAAGAGTAAGAAAAGATTAAGGCGACACATATGAAGGATAAAGTTTGGTAAATAGTAATAACAGGAGACAGACAAATAAGTAAAATTAGTAAATATAGAGGTACTTAAGATTAAAATACATCTGCTATTAATAAGGCAAAAAAGATAAAAAAAAATAGACACCAGAAGACAATATAATATAAACATGGTTTAAATCCTCTCCATTAAGGCAAAGCTACTTGTTTAAGAAATAAAATACAGGCAATAATGCACAGGCTAAGAAAGGCAAATCAAAGGTGAACAGAAATGAAGGGTTACACTATTGCTATTTGATAATAAAATGCAGTGAAGGCAATCACTACATAATGGGGAAGAGAAGCATTCTATTGGAAATAGAGTTAAAAGCACTAATAACTACAAGTTAAGCCAAGAAACATTAAAAATCTAGGTAAGATTTATAAAAATACAAGTTGATCAGACAAAAAGTGAAGGTATAGAGTCTGAAAAATGATAAAATATTCAGAAAACAAAAATAATAGGTTTAAAAATGTTTATCAGGTTTCAAGAAAACCCTGGTCATATACTAAGCCTCAAGAAAATCTCAATAAATATGAAACAATATACCATAAAAATTCATAGTAAAATATAAATTAACAAAAAGCCTTTCAATTACTTTTCAGTTTTATGTATAAAAATGATCTAAACCTTTGCTACTCAAAAAGCTGGGACACAGACCAGTAGCATCAACGTTGCCCAGAAGCTTGCTAGAAAATGCAGACTCCCAGGTCCCATCCTAAACATACTGAATCAGAATCTGTATGTTAATAGTATCCCAGGTGATTTATACGCACATTAAAGTTTGAAAGCACTGTCCTAAACAACTGATCAGAGAAACAAGTATATAAGTAATGATGTAGAAAGTAACCAAAGTATCAAAATCTATAAGATACGGTCAACAGGAGTCCTTAGCATAAAGGCTCTAATGAAAACTTACTAAAAAGAAGACATCTATAGCATACAGCTTAAAATTTTTGGTAACATTTTAAAACCTCAATAGGAAACAGGAATAAAAAGTATTGAGCGTAAAACCACAGAACAAATAGCATATGAAAGCACTGTGATTCTATTTAAAAGGAAAAATAAATTAGCAGAGGATAACCAATATACAGATATAAAGTAGTATTAGGTATGCCAGGTATAAGTAATAAATGAATATTCATATAAAATGAACATTTTAAAAACGATTGATTTCTACTTAAAAATATAAACCTCACACTAAAGGTTATGGAGGCAGATGTTTCTAGATCTGTTATGGCCAATCATGGGATATGACTTCTTGGGCTATGTATTTAGGAAGTGGAGCACCTGTAAGACCTAACAAATCTGATGACCTACTCCTGCCACTTTACAAGAAAATGAAGTACAGTAGCAGAGGAGACGAGAGACACAATTTTATGATGGGATCTGGTGAGAAATTGTAGACTAAGTTACATTTCAACCAATTCTTCCCAAAGACAGTTGAGACTTTTAAAGAATGGTAAAAGGCTGGCTCAGATGCTGTTGTCAAATGTAATTTGGAGTAGTGGGCTAGGGCTTAATACTATAATTATATACATCTCAGATGAAAAATTTTCCCAGAGGCTAATGGACTTCCAATGCACAGATATTAAAAAGATATGGCTAAAAGACTTGGAATATTTTGCTTCAAAGAGAGATTTGGAGGGGTGGAATGGAGGAACGTAGGGGTTTTGGTAGCCCTTCAAATATCTGATGCCAATCATGTGACATAGAGATAAGATTTTTCTTTATGGACCCAAGTGGGAGGGAAATCTGTAGGAGGTTCAGGGAGAGACTGTTCACTAAGACGTGACTCGCTGTGTAAAAATGGAATCAAAAGCCTTCAGAGAAGGCCAATGGTTAAGATCTCCTGTAGGATATGTAGGCACCATGGGGATGGTTTTCAGGTCTCTTGCAACTCAGATGTTTTAAAGTGCCAAATAAAGGAAAGGCTAAAATTATGGTATTTCTATAGAATGGAATGTTATGCAGTCATTAAAAACAGTATAAAAATAAATATTTGAACATTTGTAAAATCAAAATGAATATACAATATCCTATGTGGGAAAAATAAAAAAGAAAACTGAAGAAAAATAGTTGCTTTAGGGTGGGGAAATTACAGTTAAATGTTTTTTAAATATAAATCATTTTCAATAATCTTAAAATAGAGTCTCAATATGTTCATTTTGGTTAAATGATTTCACAATGTACTGGGGGTATTAATCATAAAGTCATTATGAAAAGTGATTGTCAAAGAGGTGCTACAAAATAAAATTTTTACCCTTCTTTAATTTGATTTTTGGTCAATAAAGATGAGATGTTATTTGCTGCTCTATTCACAGCCAATGGATTGTTGTCACCAGCAATATGATAACAGTTAGACCATTCAGTAGCCCCCTAAAAGACAAGAGTATATATTAAGACAGAAGTAGCAAACTGCAAAAAGATGATTAAAGAGAAAATCATTTCAGTCGATTGTCAATAAATAAGACATCCAATCCAATAATCCAGTGCTTTCCTAAAGTGGCAAAACACTGCGTATTGTCAACTTTGTTATTCCTATTACTCCTGCTTGAAATGTTTTCCTGTTCTTTCTCTGACTATTGAACTCTTTCTCATCTTTCAAGACCCAGCTTCAGTGTCACGCCTTCTGTGACATAAACCTCAACAATCCAAGCTATCTCTTATTTGACCCCTTGCCCCCCCAAACACTTTGTACATATCTTTGCCACTGCACTTGTTCTCTTTTTAATGATTTCAATACCTGTCTGCCTCTCAACAAATCTAGGAACTCAGGTTTGGTATTTTACTCAATCTCTCACCCAGCAGTGTCTGACACAGAGTCATAGTAGGCATTACAGACCTTAAATACAATTGTGATTTGAAAAAGTTACCCAAATCAAACTGACCAATCTATATACCCTGTGTTTATGGGATTTTATGTAATTTGATATGTTGGAGTATATCAAAATAAGATGTAATAAAATGTAATCTCCATTGTATAGGCTTTTGAATGATAACCACCATGTCCCTGAAAGGATTTTGTAATTTTAAGTCAAAAACATGTCAGTAGAACATAAATACCAAGCTGTTCCATATCATTTGTGGAAAGAGGTGACATACTACCCTAGGCCTGAACAAAATATTCTATGCAGATTAACAGGTTTATGAAGTGAAGGCAAAGAAAGTTCTGCCCTTTGTTTAGGGAGAAATAACAAACACCACCTCCTCTGTAAATAGCAATATACCCGTATTCATGAACTCGGTGCTTCACAGCTTTTGCCCAGACATTTGAGGGTGATGTAGAGGGGATGTGGAAGACACCTAGAGTTTGATGAAACCCTCTCAGTTGATTCTGATTTCCTAAAATTCATTTTTTCCTACTAAACCTATTTAGATTTTCAGCTTTCAAAAAGAGATGGGTTTGGTAATACTTCTGAGTTTTAAAAGGAGTATTCTGAATCAAGTATTTTCTACTTTGGTGAACAAATCTGTATATACACTTTGTTAATTCCTTTCATAATTTCTTTCATTTTGATCATCTATCAGCTTAGGTTTTTCTATAGTGACATCCTCATGTCTATTCTCACATGGAAATGCCTCAAACTTTTTATCTTTTTGTAGGGGAGGTGCCTTTTCTGGACTCTCTCTAGCTCTGTTGTATATTTTTTGACATGTAGTGACCTTCTATGCTATTTCAGACATAGACATATCATGGTTTCATGCTGGAGAAAAATACCATGCTTTGTTTCCAGAATTTTTCTTAACTGAGTTTTCTCTGTGTAGGTCTCTTTAGCCAGAGTAAATTTCTCTAGCCAATGTGAGCAGAAAACAGTATTCATTTAGACCAAGGGTCCTCAACTCCTAGGTCGTGGACTGGTACCTGTCCGTGGCCTGTTAGGAACCAGGCCGCACAGCAGGAGGTGAATGGCCGGCAAATGAGCAAAACTTCATCTGTATTTGTAGGCGATCCCAGCACTAGTATCACCATCTCAGCTCCACCTCAGATCATCAGGTATTAGGTATTCATAGGAGTACCAGTCTCTGGTGCCCAAAAGGTTAGGGACTGCTGATCTCGACTACTATGATTTACTTCTGGGATTTTAACTCCCAGATGACATATCATTTTCTGATTGCCGTCTGGATTATTTTTCCCTTTGTGGATTACTTTGGACTTGCTCATCTGTTCCGTTTCTGCCCACTCAAAGAATCTATGGTATCTCCCATTGGCTTTATGTGTACTATATGTAAGAACTTACTGTTTCACAAATTTAAGCAATTTTACTGGGAGTGTCCTCCAAATTATTTATACAAATATAGATAATATTGATTCAAGAACACTTTCTTGTTAATGTTCTCCACTTACAAATACCTTTATATTTTTACTTTAGGCAGGTTTTGAGTCCTTTCGGTGTCACAGTAATTTTGAAAACTACTTAAGAGTATTTGGTATATAACCTTGTTAGACTTCCTAAAAAAATTAAATATTGTTCATAGGTTTCCCCTTTTAACAACTATACTTACTCCTTCCAAGAACCTAAGTGGATTAAGAAGCATAATCTCACTTTATAAAGATGAAACACCTTCCTCCAGTTTATGCTTATGCTTTCAATTATCTTTTCCATTCATGTGTATCTACCTATTAGAGAAAAGGGACTCAACAGTTTGTAATTCTCAGTTTCCTTTAATCCACTGAATAAATATCACAATATACCTAATCCTTGACTATTTGTAGTAAGTGGTTACATCCTTTACACAAAATTCCAGCTTTACTAGAGTATTTTTTTCAAAACTCTTGGGTCCATTGACCCAACCTTGGTGATTTCATTATGTATAATTTGTACATTAGTTCAAGAACATTCCAGACATATCACTTGTTTATCTGAAAGCTAATGAAAAGTTATTACCTCTATTGGTATTGCCCCTGTTCCACACATTGGATCAACTATTATATCAGTAGGCTCAGGAGCACAGAGCCTAGAGAAAAGAAAACAGCCTATGTGAAGAGACTTCAACCAAGAACTGAGGCTTCCACAGTGACTATTTCTGAAGCTATAAGATCAAGGACCTATTATGTTAGCATGAAGAAACACCAATCAATATCCATTATAAAAATCAATTTGTAATTACATGTTGACTCCATAGCCTAGCATTTAAAAATAACATTAAATATAACTAAAAGTACTCTTTGCTTTGAGTATTATCCAAAATCCCATTTCATTTCCAGATGGAATTTAGCTTCTAGATCTTTTAAATATATGTATATATGCTTTTAGAAAATACACGTTATTTTGTATATAAACCTGTATTGTTACACTAAAAAAAAAACCTGAAACATGTTTCAAGTAGAACATGTATTAATATAAATTTATTGGTAGTTTAGACATTCAGTATTCCTTCCCTTACAAATTTTAAAGATAATAACATTGCTATAAAATAATTGCTTTACTTTGAGAACTTAGTACAGTAATTCCTCAATGTCGTGGATAGCTTCTGTAACTTTAAGTGAAATGACATAATAGAACCAATTTTACCACCGGCTAATTGGTATAAACAAGATGTAAGTTCCTACAGCATCTCTGGCATCTCATCAACCTTTTAAGAGAAACAATGTTATTTGAAGACCTGCTATATTTTCCAGGTGTGGACTTAACTCTTTGTATGCATTATTTCATTTAATCCTTTAACAACTCTATGAGGTGGGTCACTATTATTATTTTATAGAGAAGCTGATGCAAAACCTGTCCAGATACAAAACCAATAGGTGATAAAGTCAGGATTAGAGACATTACTGTTAGTGGCTGAAATATTACCCCATCTAATGAAGCATTCCCTCCTTAGGTCACTAGGTTTCCTCCTTTTGTCCTAACCTTTTCATATTCTATTATAGTATTTATTATATGTAATTATTTATCTTCCTCACAAGACTAAGATTCTTGGGTATTAACACTGTGTTCTTATTTTAATACCTGTCCAGGTCTACCTCTGTGTTCCTGCCTCTTAACACATGGCAACAGAATATCTGACCACAGTGTTGGTAGTAAGCAACCCCAGTAATGCATTCCTAGGCATTGCTGCTGGGGGTTCGAGTGAACACTTGACTGAGACTCTGTCAGATTCTCTCTTTCAAGAATTGGGAAGAGCTAGAAGCCCTAGGCAGTATGGAACTGGTCATTTGAAATTGGAAATATATAAATTTAGATGAGAGGAAGCCATTTGCACAGGTGAGCAAAAACAAAGAGCCCACAGACTCCTAAGAGAGATAAAAGTGACTGTCCAGGTTTAAAAGGTATTTTTCCATGATCTGATTCCTACCCTTCTTGAAATACAGCTTTCAGTTTTTCTGTGGATTCCCCAAGATTTCTCAGGATCTTTCCAATACATCCCCTTCCGACTCCATCATCACTTTTTTTTTTTTTTTAAATCTTAAACTAGATTACTTAGGTTTCTAATAGTTGCACCCAAAGTAACTCTTCTTATCCCTGGCTTCTACACCATAATGCCTGGCAGTGGATAATAAATGTTTGTTAAGTGAATGAAGACTAGGAGCTCTTCAGCTGGGCCCAGTTTTCTATTATTGTCATTGAATTAATAGATTCCAATTGTGCTGAACTGGACTCCATGGATGAGCAGGTAAAAGAAGACTACCAAGCTATGCCAGGCACTGTATATAGCAGGTATTTTGCATATGCTTCTGCATTTACTCCTAGTAATCCTTTAAATCTCACGGAAAACCCATTTTGCACTCTGAAAAACAGAAGCCTAGAGAAGACAACTTGTCTGAGTGGTGGAAAGAAGCGCTCAATAAAAACAGAAAGGACAAAGGAGAAAGAATGCTACAGCTTACTCTTGGAAACATGGAAAATTCCAGAATGATTCCTGGGATGCACTGAGTATAAAATTTAAAAATATAAGGAAAAGCTCTCTGTGTTCATTTACACATCATACACATTTTCAAAAATCTGCTTTCAGTTGCTTCACTGACAAAAATGAAACAAAGCAAAATTTGCTCTATTTCCCAACATATATATCTTTTCTAAACAGAAATGTTGCAACTCCATTCAAAAAGCAAATGAAAACTATCGTTTCCATTTTAAAATAAAAAAAAAACTGAGACAGTAATTAAGTGATATTCTCAGGATCACAAAGAATCAAAACTGGATATAAGGGAAAGAAACAGATCAATAGCTTTTATCCTGTTCTTTACTACTAAATTACAACACAGTATACCTCACAAGAAATTAAACTGTTTTGAGGAGAAACTTCAAACCAAGGTGTAATTTTAATCTAGTTGGCAAACACATTCTCTTACCTGAGCATCCCATAGGCAAGAGTAGATCTAAGAGTTGTAGGTCCAAAATGTGTGATATTTCTTCGATGGAGACTCTCTTCTGTCAGTGCAATGCCCACAATGATTTCATTATCATGGATGTTCAAAAGCACCTATAGTAGAACAAGACAGAATAAAAATAGTTTTAGAACTGTTCAAACTACCTATTAGGATTTTTTAATATCAGGCTTTATCAATTTTTTCACTTTATTATTGAAGTATACTTTGCATACAGTAAAATACAATCTTAAGTGTGCAGCACAGTGAATTTTTACTTACATATACACTGTGCAGCTGCCACCCAGATAATCAATATCTTAAGCATGCCAGAAGGTTCCCCCTTCCCCCTCCCAGCCATTACCTACCAATCATTAATCTGAACACTACCACCATATATTTGTTTGGTCTTTTTTTAACATCATGTAAATGAAATCATATAGTATATACTACTTTAAAATTTTAACGTCTATTTTACTCTTTTCATTCACTATAAGTTAGCTGTAACCATATTTCCCCTGAATTTTTATAATGTAAACATATTTTGAAGGTCTATGGGTTTTTTAATATACATTTTTAAAGATTTTAACTTTTAATCAACTATTAATACTGTACCACACTTATCGCCTATTATTTTCTTAGTATTTTTTAAACTCTGTGAAATGTCTTTTGCCCTATTTTTTTCACAATATAAATTATTCAAATAAAAAAGTAAAAAAATTGTTCTCCAATCTTCCACTGAAAATTTTCTTATCATGATCTTAGCAGCAGCAGCTGACACTTACCTAGCTATGTGCAAGCCAATGTTCTACACACTTTACATTCATCACTTCATTTCATATTTGCACCCTCTGAGCTAGGTTATTATTATCCTCCTTTTATAGATGAGGAAATTGAGGTACAAAGACATCAGCTTACTTGCCCATAGTCATGTAGCTTGTAAATTGGGATTTGAACCCAGGCATTATGGCTCCAGAATCTGTCCTCTGATGCCCCTTGCTACCTTTCGGACATTACCATTCCAGTGAACCTATTCATTTCATTCTCACATGTGAATCACCTATGTAGTAGAAGATTGAGACTAAGGAGAGTAAGCATGCTACAAAGAGGTATCTAGGTTTGGGAAGCTAGTAGAATTTAAGAGGAGAGCTGACTCTAGGATGAATATTAGCAATGATGGCCTGATTCTAGGAGGTTGAGGCTTGTTTTAAAAATGTATTTTTAGTAGCAAAACTCTACAACCAAGATGCTACTAAATGTATTTTTAGTAGCAAAACTCTACAACCAAGATGCACAAAAACAAAATAATTGTTTTAAATCTGGCTGAATTTTATAATCTGAAAGCCTACGTAATGTTGGAAAAAGTACTAGATTAGAAATTAGAAAACTCAAGTCTTGTAGCTCCTATCATTTGAGCACTTGGTATATAGCAGGCATTGCACCAAATACTTAAAATGTATTGTCTCATTTAACTTTCAGGACACACTTAGGGTATATACTGCTACAGGCTCTATTTGAAATACAGGCTCAGAATATCTTGTCCAAAGTTACACAGTTGTAGAATCAAAATTTGAATCTAGATATGTCTCCACAGCCCACACTCTTGTTAACCACACCTATTAGCTCTGTGGCCTGTTTAATTGTCCGTAAGATTGGGTTAGTCTGAAAATTCGACAAATCTATGACCGCCTTGAATCATCACAATCAGAGCCTGTACCTACCTCCACATCAAAGTTGGTCATGTCAGCCTTCCACTTAAAGTAATCTTGAACAGCTCCCCCAAAATCTCTTGCAGCCTCAGTTGAAGAAAAGCAGTGTTTCTCTCCTGCCCTGTTACATGTGACTCTAAATTTTAGCACTTCGGTATCGGTTTCTTCTCTGGAGCTTTCATCAGTCTCATCTTTGCAAGATGCTAAATCATCACCTACTAATGTTGATATATCTTCTCTGATGGCTGGATTTTCATAATAGTCTAAGATATGTGAATCTAAGGCATTGTTAGTCAACTCTTTTTTAACATCTCTATCATTTCTTTTGTCTCCTCGTCCATTATCAATCTTCTCTTTACTTGAATTCTCATTTATCTTTCTGCGCTTTGTTTTTTTTTTCTTGAAACTGGAGTTAATTTTCCATACTTTTAAAGGATCTGACCATGGAAGCTTCCCAGCCAATTCTTCAAAATCCTTTAGAACTTCTTCCTATAAGGGACAGAGAATAAAACCCATTCATTTTTCAATATTTTAATTGAACAAATAAGCTGCTACTTTGCCTACAGATGACATTGTTATGTTGGGGATGGTAGGGGTAAAAGCAAGAGTCAATAAAATAATGGCTACAACTGAAGAAGAAAAAATCTCATTGAAATTTAAGATATATATAAATTAAGTCACTAAAGAATAATACAAGACAGAGTGGTGGATTGGAGTTTGGGCTTCAAGATTAAAAATGTAAGCAGTAAGAAAATTACTAACAGTGGTTACCTCTAGGGAAGGGAAGTGGGTGGATGAAAAGATGGGAGGGGGATAACTTCCCATTGACTTCATTGACTTCCTTTTGAATTTTGTGCTGTATATACATATTAACTTTTTGAAAGTAACATTTTTTACAAGAAAAGAAACCTTAAGTAGTTAAAAATGAATCTACCCAATTTCTAAATAGTATCTAGAGACATCTTTTAAAACAGTAAATCTGATCATGTCCCTCCGTTACTTAAAGACACTCAGTAGCTTCCCATAGCACATAAAAAAACCTAAATTCCTTAAAAAGTCCAACATAACCTGATTCCTGCCTACTTCGCGTACATCACTTCAGTACCATTCTCTCCTTCACACTTCCTCTGCTTGGAAGATACTTGGTTTACATCATTGCTTTGTACTGCTGGCTCCCTTCTCATTATTTAACAGCAATTTAAAGTCTCTGAGAGACCTACTCTACTTAAAGTAATCCTCTCAAGTCATCTCTTCCCATTTTATTTTCTTTACAGAGCTTAGCATTATCTAAAGTTACTAGATTTATGTACTGTTCATCATCAAGGCTCCTCCCAGAAGATGGTAAGTTCAGGGTGGGAAGGACCTTACCTGTCTTGACCACTGCTATAAGTTACCCGCCTAGACAATGCCTGGTATATAAAAGGTACTCAATAAACAGCTGTTGGATAATACATGATTAAATGTTAAAAGAGCCATGTTGTCTGATTCAGCAGCCATTAGCCACATGTAGCTGTTGAAATTTAAATGATTTAAAATAAAAAAACCAGTTTATCAGTCACATTAGCTACATTTCACACACTGATGGCTAATGGCTACCATGACAGACAGTGAAGACATAGAACATTTCCATTAGAAAGCTCTATGGCAGAATGCTGGTATATAGAAAGCAGAACGAAATCAGTGCTGACTGGTAGAACTGAGATTTGAAATGGAAGTGAGTGAAGGCTTTGCTATTACTTGAAGCCTAATGAAATAATGGTAAATTTTGGGTTTGGCAAATCCAATTTTATTTACAAATAATTTTCCCATAAAGGGCACCTATAGGACTTCTAAGTTTAACATGGTGGAATAACACTGGTACAATCCCTTTCTTTCTTTAGAAACTATTCTAAAAATAAACAGAAACACCAACTCTATCTTAATAGAATCTATGTGATATCTGCAACCCTGAACCATAACATGAGAATTCTAAATGCAGTGAAGGCCAAACAAGTGCAGGAAGACATGAGAGAGAGAATGCCTACAGATCTTAGATAAAGGGTAGAACAGTCGCAAAGTAGTAGCAAATAAACTCTTCAAATAGCAAGGAAGAAGTATGTGCACTGGACTTCGTTTCTACCAAGAAGCAGCAGGGGAGAGAAATAGAGGCTGAACAAGGAATCCCACAGATGCTCTATTTGCTGGAAACAGTCTGTTGGTGAAGTAGAATTGGGAGAGATACTTTACATAGTGAATGATCCTGAACCTGCTGATCCTTTCAGGCTAGGGAGAAGTAACAGTTAACTTGTTTAATAGTATGGAAATTATATCTCAGTAAAGCTGTTCAAAAAAAAAAAAAAGCGGAATTGAAGAACTCATTCACTCACAGCCCTTTGTCAGAAGGAACTTCACGGTAAACCAGGGAGATTTCTTGCTGGCCTGGAACAGTTCCTGGCTTCTCCCAAGAGAACCTCCTATAAATAGCAGGTCCAAGAGGAACTCCGTCATTCAAAGATGAACACTTACCAAAAGTTAGCACAAAATTTACAGGAACATAAAAAAAAGAAAAAGGAAGAAAGTAACAAAAATAGACAAAAAACTGACCAGAAAGACACTGCTACGAGAAGTTAAAAACTATGATCAAATGTGTTGACATCGCGTCAAAAAACGTAATGAGATTCTTTTGTAAAGTAAGAGCTCAAGGCAGAGATAGAAAAGCAGAAAGATGATGAGGTGAAGATGGAGAAGAAACAGGAGCTTGATATATGGATACTTAATAAGAAAACCCATTAGAATGCTTAAACTAACAGGCTTTTTATAAGACTGGGAAAGTATAATGCTACAAAGAATAAAATCGATAGTCAACAGAATGAAAGCTAGAAGCTAATGTTTAAAAACACGGTTTTACTGGGGCATGTTACAATTTAAGTCCACAGAATGAAGGGCTTAACAATTTTTCATGGTTACACACGACAGAAGTTGCCCTTACACAGGTCTGAAAATCTACTTTAAATCTTTGGTGCTCTTCTTTTGGGACTTCCACCAGCAACCTCTTTTGCAGTTATTTACAAAGCAACTCTGAAGCTGGCTCATAAAGAACCATTCAATAACATCAAATTAACCTTTAATTAGATATCAAAAACACCAAAATAATACAAACTTTAAGATGGCAAAAATGCAGGAATTGAAAATATTAATAATACTCTAGTAAGTTAGAGGAAAGAATTTAAGAATTTTTAAAAGTTTAGTTTTTTTAATGCCTGTAAACATTTATTGCTGGCTATTAACATTGTGAAATAGTTAGCAGCAAAAATTTTCAGTAGCCTGCCTATTATTTACTAGTTTCACAGATATGATTCAGTTGGCAATGACTATTGGAAGTCTGAATGGTTATAATATTGTTGTTGAAAGTTATATTTTTGGTTCATAAAATTTTTATCTATTTTCAGTCTGAATTCTTTTAGTTCTGGTTTTATTTTTCTAGCTGTGGGTTCATATCACCTTGGTTTCTGAATAATGTTTTGGACATTAACCTGTTGTTAATAAATAAAAATTAGAGAATTAAGCAGCATATCATAATTTTAAGAAACAGATTATTACTCACATAAGCAATAAAACTGATAGAAAAAAGTTTTCAAGTATTCAACTCTGGAAACCTGACCAAAAAGCAATATGGAAAGGTACTAAAGCCTTACTGAGATCTATTTTCAACCTTCAGCTTAGGCAGTCTCAATATTTAGGAATCAGATGCTAAAAACAAGTTAGAGACAAAGCTGTTGTCTTAACAACTGAAGGAGTATTAACAAGTTACTTTGGCTTTAATTAAAAAAAATGTACTTAGAGAAGGCCAGGCAAAAGCAGAATGATGAGAGAAAATGTTATTTGTAGATGATACAAACCATCACTTGTTCTTTGGTTCACAGTTGGGAAGCAATTCTTTTGTAACTATACATCGGCAAAGCTAATCTAAGGTATATATCTTTTGTAAGAAAGGCAAACAATTTATTTCTTACAAATTTTGATGTTTTTCAATAGTGATTTTTATTTACTTATTCTTTCATCTTTTTTTAAAAATAAGGTATAATTGACATATAACATTATTTTATTTTCGGGGGTACAACATAGTGATTCGATATTTGTATATATGGCAAAATGATCACCATAATAAATCTGGTAAACAGCTGTCACCATAGTTACAAAAAATTTTTTTCCTGTGACGAGAACTTTTAAAATCTACTCTTTGCAACTTGCTAATACTCAATACAGTATTATTAACTATAGTTGCTTTGCTGTATATTACATCCCCATGACTTATTTTATAACAGTAAGTTTGTACCTTTTGACCCCCTCCACCCATTTTGCCCACTCTCTATGCACCCCACCCCCACCACCGATACTGATATTTAAAAACAATTTTTGGGATGCACTATCAACAAATCTGTTTTTTACTGTAAAAGACTCCTAATATTCTATATTATAAAAGCAGCGGGAGACCGGCCAAGATGGCGTAGAGGGTAGATGCTGTGTACACCTCTTGCAACCACACCAAAATTATAACGAAACTACAGAGCAACCATCACTGGGAGTAGCCCAATGTCTGGCTGAACAGAAGTCATACAATTGGTAACATATATAGGAAGTCACCTCGAGGCTGGTAAGAGGGGCAGAGACATGAAATGGCCCAGTTCCACAACCATGTGTGGCAGCTGAAAATCAGGAGGGCCATCTTGGCTGCAGAGCTCACTTCCTGAGGAGCGAGAGGTCCTGGCCTTACGTTGCACTCCTCAGCCCTGGGTTTCAGTGCCAGGAAGAGAAGTCCCCACAACCTCTGGCTGTGAAAAACCAGTGGAGATTCTGACTGAGTGAGACAGAGCTGCAGGAGCTGCAGATACTTCTCTTAAAGGGCCCACCCCCAGACTTACACACTGATGGACTTACTCACTCTGAGCTCCATCACTGGGGCAGTGGCTCGAGGAGTGCCAGGGACATAGGGGGAGACACTTGAGTTGTGGGCTTTAGGGCGAGGGCTGGAGGGGCAGCTTTCTCCCAAACAGACGTGCTGGCTGTATCTATTATTCCTTTGTTGAGCCCTCTCCGCTCAGTGTGGATGCAGGTGGCAGCCATAACTGAGTCTCCATCAACTTGGATAACACAGTTTGCTCTGCCCAGGTGATTCCCTGAGACTCCACCCCTCCCAACTTGTGGGCCCAACCAAGCTGCCTCCAGTGGTTTATGCCATACAAATGTTCTGTCTTGACCCATGTTGTGGACTTTCCTGAAATCTCTCAAAGGCTCACAAAACCCAAAGAAGCAGCATCCGACCTCAGTGTGCCCGATACCTCTTGCTGAGCAGCCCCAAGTCCAGTACTAGCAGCAGCCAGCCCTGGTTTCTGGCTTGGCCTCTCGAGGCACCTATAAGCAGAGCAGAGGTGGAGCCATCTGCAGACTGCTTAGCGACTCTTAAAAGGTAGCCTGGGAAGTTCACAGGCTGTGGCTGAACTTGGCCTGCAGCTGGGCCCCACCTAGAAGGCCTTTGGGCCAGCAAACCCAGTGGTCTTCCTGGACCTGCAAGGGAGCCAGAGTGCTCTGCATCTGAGGAGGGCACACCCAAAGGGCAGACTAGGCAGGCACCAGAACCCTGCTACAGGGAATCCTGCTCCACAGGGTCAGCCCTTCACCAGCCAATCCTCACAACCAATTAGCCCAAGGGTCAATCCCTCCCACTGATGTACAAACAGCAACCAAGGCTCAACTACATCAGGAGGGCACACACATCCCACGCATGGGACATACCTTGAGCACCTCGCTTAGGTGACCAGGAAAGACTGTGCCACTGGGCCCCTCGCTTAGGTGACCAGGAAAGACTGTGCCACCTACTACCATAAAGGCATTCTACTAAGACTAGGTGGCTAAGGAGCCCTACTTAATATGTAGAAACAAACACAGGGAGGTAGCCAAAATGGGGCGACAAGAAACATGTCCCACATGAAAGAACAGAACAAAGCTCCAAAAAAAGAACAAAGTAGAGATAAACAATTTACCAGATGTAGAGTTCAAAACACTGGTTAAAGGATGCTCAGTGAACTTAGGGGAAGAGTAATGAACTCAGGGAGAACTTTAATAAAGAGACAGAAAATATAAAAATAGATACGGAAGACATAAAAGAGAACCAGTTAGAAATGACGAATAAAAAGTCTGAGATGAAGAGTACATCAGAGGGAATCAACAGATTGGATGAAGTGGAGGATCAAATCAGAGATTTAGAGGATGGAGTAGTAGAGAACACCCAATCAGCAACAAGAAAAAAATCCAAAAAAATTGAGAATAGTTTAAGGGACCTCTGGGACAACATCAAGTGCAACAACATTCGCATCATTGGGGTACTAGAAGAAGAGACAAAGCAAGGAACTGAAAACCTATTTGAAGAAATAATGACAGAAAACTTCCCTAACCTGCTAAAGGAAATAGATGTATAAGCCCAGGAAGTGTAGAGAGTCCCAAACAAGATGAACCCAGAGAGACACACACCAAGACACATTATTAAAATGTCAAAGGTTAAATAGAGACTCTTAAAAGCCGCAAGAATAAAAAGCAATTAGTTACCCACAGGGAACTCCCAGAAGACTGTCAGCCAATTTCTCAACAGAAACTTTGCAGGCTAGAAGGGCTTGGCACAAAATATTCAAAGTGATGAAAAACCAGGACCTATAACCAAAATTATTCTACCCAGCAAAGCTATCATTTAGAATCATAAGACAGATAAAGAGCTTCCCAGACAAGAAAAAGCTAAAGGAGTTCATCACTACCAAGACAGTATTCCAGGAAATGCTGGAGGGACTTCTTTAAGAAGAAAAATAAAAAATATGAATAAAGAATGGCAATAACTACATATCTGGCAACAAGTACTTCAAATGAAAAAGAATTAAATGTTTCAATCAAAAGATAGGGTGGCTGAATGGATAAAAAAACAAGACCTTTATATAAGCTGCCTACAAGAGACTCACTTCAAATTAAAGACTAAAAGTAAACGGATAGAAAGAGACATTTCATGATAGACCTAGAAGGTATTGTGCTGAGTGGAGTAGGTCAGATAAAGACAAATGCCATATGATTTTGTGTACATGTGGAATCTAAAGAAAAAAATAAACAAAAACAACAGAAACAAACTCATAGATACAGAGGACATTTTGAGGGTTACCAGATGGGAGAGAAGTTGGGGGATTAGGTGAAAAAAAAGGAAGGGATTAAGAAATACAAAATAGAAGTTACAAAATAGTCATGGAGATGTAGAGCATAAGAAATATAGTCAATAATATTGTAATAACTATGTATGGTGTCAGATTTAGTGGGGTGATTACTTTATGAGTTATATAGATGTCTAATCACTATGTCGTACACCTGAAACTAATATTGTATGCCAACTATAATTGAAAAATAAAAAATGTTATTTAAAAAAAGCAGCAGTAATGCTAAATGACAGAATGCAAAAAGTAGAAATAAGATCTTTGGGGAAGATGGCTGAAAATCAGCTACCATGTTTGGGAAAGCTCACCTTTGTTTCTTTGAACTGGTAATCTTTAAGCTCCTGAACAACCACAAATAAATTATCAACTGATCTCAGACAATGAACCTGGGGAGAGAAAGATGTTAAAAACAAATTTCTAGAAAGCTTTTGAATCACACAAACTATTGACATTTTAATTTAAAAATTAGGTACTAAGGCTTTAAAGCAGATAATACAGTAGTCCCTCTTTATCTATGGTTTCAGTTACTGATGGTCAACCACTGTCCGAAAATATTACAAGGAAAAATTACAAAAATAAAGAATTCATAAGTTTTAAATTGCATGCTATTCTGAGTAGCTTGATGAAATCTTGCTACATCCTACCCAAGACATGAATCATCTCTCTATCCAGTGTATCTACACTGTATATGCTAGCTGCCCATTAGTCACTTAGTAGCTATGTCATGGTATTTCAGTGCTTTAGTTCAAGTAACTGTTATTTAAGAATGACCCTAAAATGCAAGGGTGGTAATTCTGAAAATTTGGATATGCCAAAGAGAAGCCATAAATTGCTTCCCTTAAGTGAAAAGGTGAAAGTTCTTGAATTAATAAGAACTTAATAAGAAAAAACTGTATGCTGAGGTTGCTAAGATATGTGGCAAAAATGAATCTTCTATCCATGAAATTGCCTAATTTCTAAATTAAACTTTATCATAGGTATGTATGTATAGGAAAAAAACCATAATATACATAGAGTTTAGTACTACCTTCAGTTTCAGATATCAACTGGAGGTCTTGGAACATGTCCACCATGGAGAAGGGGGGCTCTACTATACCTATAATTTGTATTTAAAAATTTTCCCATCACTCCAGTCTCCACGAATATTTTTTGGGTGTCTCCTCTATGTCAGACACTAAAAGCTTGCGAGATAGCAGCAGAAAAAAAAAAAAACGAGAGAGAGAGAGAGAGAGATGACAATTCATGTCCTCATGTTGCTTAAGTGGTAATGAATATAGCTTAGCTTTTTTATTCTAGTGGGATGGCAGTTTGCTGACCTTCACTTCTCACCTTCAGTGATTCCTAGTTACTTTTGAGCAAGCGTTTCTTGACACAGATCAAAAGAAAAATGTCTCTTTTTATGCTTTATCACCAAAGTCTAAACTTTAGCTAGATGCTGAAGTAAACAAATTCGAAGATGAGTATAGCAGGTACCCAGAATTTTTTCATAAGTTACACAGAATTCTTCTGGTGAATTCATCATCAGGAAATATTAAGATCACTTCTAAAAATACAGCAAATCTTGTTAAACTTATAAATCGGTACCCAATAGAAAATGCAGTAAAACTTTAAAATCACCTGTGTTGGGGCAGAGAAGGAAAAGCAAAAAGGATTCCAGAGAGGCCTGTAAACTAGAAAGTAACCATAAAATGACCTACTTAGAAAACTATTTTAAATATTGCTTCATTCAAACCTGAGCCAGACTTTCCACTGAAATGTCAAAATATATCTTGCCGCGGTCTTTGCTGATTTTGCATGATGACCTCAGTTTCTCTCTTACTTCATCTGCAGCTGTTTGCTCAAAACCAGTAGGTACCGTGGCTCCAATAGTGACTTGGAGATGCTCAGACTCACTTTCAGGGCCACTTTCCACCACTTGTATAGACCTCTGGTTCTCATGAAGATTCATATCCAGAAGTCGGTTAGTGGCTTCTTGAACATCAGACATGTTGGCAGTGCTTCCAGGATCCTTAATATAGTCCCTTTAAAAGCAGAATAGGAAAAAAATGTCCAACATTATCACCTCATATTTCAACTATAACTAAAAACATCTGTTTTAGAGAGCTAGAAGAACAAGGCAACATAACTGATATAGCCATATTCAGTCAACACACCTCAGTCAGTATTCACCAACGATAAAAGGATTTAACGACATGGGCACAGAGTGCAGGATAGAAAATATATTATTAAACAAGCAATGTAAATACTATGGAAGAAAAGGAGACAGACAAGCATGCGATATTTGGTTTGGGATCACTGATATGGGTAATAGTCATTTCATAACTACAACAGCTGACAATCCAAGAACGAAGGCTACTAGACCACAGATATATTTCTGCATCTAGTCATTTTTCAGGTAGCAGTTAAGAACACGGGGCCTTGGAATTTCAGACATGGGTTTGAATTCTTGTCCTCTTCATTCATAGGTTGAATGATCTAAAACAAGTCTATTCTCCTATGCATCAATTTCCTCATCTGCAAAATGGGAAATACCACCTCTCTTCTAGAGTTGTTGGGAGTCTTAAGTGAGACTATGCCAGACCCATGATTAAAAATTGCTAACAGGATTTCTATCTTCCTCCTGTGAATGGTACAGTGATTCGTGCATTTAAAAATGATTAACTGAACATCTACTGTGGGCCAGGCTCTGTGATCTATGGGTGGGCATCAAAAGAGTAAGCCCAATTTCCTGTGTCTGAGCATGAAGTGGGTGGAGTTAAGAGTTGGGAAGTGGGGACCAACAGCTCTCAACAGACCTAAAACAGCTTAAGAAGACACCGAGTACCTAAGTGGTCCTCGTTCTGTATCTGGGACAGGGAATAGTGTCTAACACTAATGAAAGTCAGTTCCTGCTCTTAAGGAGCTCACAATCGCTGTGACTAAAACCTCCAGCTTCTAAATAAGGAGCCTGAAGCCCATGAAAGGACGTATCCTGCCCAAGGTCAGAGAGCCAATCAATGGCGTAGGCTGGAATGAAACCCAAGTCTCCCCACCCCGACCGCTTGGCCCTCATCTCAGGAACTCAGAGGAGGGGGTGAAGGCCTGGGAGAAACAGCGAGAAGAGATCCACAATGACAACAGAAATTGAAGGCGCTGGCCCGGGTAGCAAGACGAAGGTCGCCCCTCCCGAGGGTTGGCGGCTCCACACCCGTCCACTCCCACCCGCCGCCCGGTTACCGGCCACAGGCGTAGACCCTTCCGACTCCAGCACGCTGCCGACGCAGCGCGCCCAGGTCACGCCGCCGGAAGTCGCTTTCACAGCCCCGGAAACGGAAGTCAGGTGGGGCGGTCACAAGTGACCCAAGGTAGGGGCGGGCGCTGGTACAAGGTCGTGCAGAGAGAAACGTGAACCTGAAGGTTTGTTCCCGTGGCAGTTAATATGGCTTGGTCCGCTCATGCAGCTGGGGACAGCATCTGCAATCTGAACCTGGAGAGCCTGTGGGCCCTGTGGCTTGTCATCATAATGGCTAACGTTTATAGTGTTTAGCCGTGCCAAGCACTGAGTAAGCGCTTCACATGCGTCGTTTTATTTGTTTCAACAACACTTTGATGTGGGCAAGGCTATTCGCATTTTAAAGCAGGAGAAACATCCTCAAAGATATTAAATATCTTGGCCAAAATGTTAGGCACAGCACTTTCCAGGCAGACTAGGGATGTTTTTAAACAAAAACTAGAACATGAATGTGCCTAGCAACATTATTCATAATAGCCCAAAAGTGGAAACAACCTAAATATTTATCAGTGATTGAATAGATAAGCAAATGTGGTCTATTCATACAATGGAATATTACTCTTTTAAAAAAGGATGGAGTAAAAGATACATGTTACAACAGGGGTGAACCTTGAAAACATTATGCTAAGTACAACCAGATCCAAAAGATCACATATATGGTTCCATTTATATGAAATATCCAGAGTTGGTGAGTCTAAAGAGCTAGAAAGTAGATTAGGGGTTGCTTAGCATTGGGGAGAATTTGGGGGTGATTGCTAAAAGGTATGGGCTTTCTTTTTGGTGTGATGAGAATGTAGTGGAATTAGATAGTAGTGATGGTTCCACGACATTGTCAATAGACTAGGAAACACTGAATTGTACACTTTAAAATATTTAAAATGGTGGGTTTATGGTCTGTGAATTTGTCTCAAAGGAAACTTCGATCTTATGGGAAACTCATCTGCAGTTTTTTCATATGCAAAATGCTACTTCTTGGATAAGAGTTATAAGATTTAATGAGATTAACATGTTGATGGGCACATAATTGAAATAGATTGTACTCTGTCTACGGCCATGCCACCCTGAACACGCCTGATCCCATATGATTTCGGAAGCTAAGCAGAGTCGGGCCTGGTTAGTACTTAGATGGGAGACCACCTGGGAAGACCCGGTGCTAAAAAAAAAAAAAGATTGTACCCTTAAAAATAAATACAATGGAAACAAAGCAAGATGATTAAATTCTAGCCAGATACTTTTCCCTGCAAAGGGCTCTTAGTAGGCTCTATATGTAAGGCTCATTTTCTATTCTTTGAAGGGACAAATTTTGGAGCATTAGGGACAAACTAGCACTAATTGAGACTTTGACAAAGAGAGAAAAGATTCTCTCTGTCTGAGTTAGTGTTATTTAATGCATACTTTATACTATTTAAAATTATCTCTATAAACAGATCTCACACTTGGGGAAACATTGCGCTCTAAAGACGCATTATCTACCAGTAGTATCATGTTGAGTCTGTTATTTAACCCATTTCCCGTTTAGAAAAAAAAAAATGCAGCTTGCTGCCAGTGTTAATTTAATTTTACACAAACATCCTCTTTGAAGCTGAAGCAAATCTGACTGGTTTTCAATGTGAAGATAAAATCTAAAAACTGTTCTTGGAGTTATTTTTAAACAGAACTTGTTTCTAATCCTAATGAAACAAAAATGTAGACGTAAATCGGATTCATCAAATGAATCTTCAGCTAAGTGTTCAAGAACGATGTTAAACATCAATGTATAGGAATGCTATGTTTTCTAGGATTTGACATTTTCAGCGATTGGAAATTACTGTATTTTGTAAGTGGAAATGCCACTACTAAAACCAGAATGCTATAAATAGAATGATATCATTTGTTCCCAAAGACTATCGATATGCTAGAGCAAATGGGAAAATAATAATGAAAGTGAGATATTTTGTGGCAAACTTTGAGGATAAGGTTAAGACTGTAATCTGTAAGTCATCTTGAGGTAAATGCTGCAGCCACAAGTGCTGCCAGCGAGTATTCTCGGGGCAAACGGGAAATGAGTTAACAGAATTTATTGATCATCTATTATGTGTCAGGCACTCTTAGGCATTGGGGATACAGCAGTGAAAAAAAAAGCCCCAAAGTCCCTGACTTCCTGTTATAGAGCTTATATTCTAGTGGAAAAGACAGACTAGAGAAAAAATATATGTAACATGCTTGTGATGATCAATATTACAGAGAAAAACTAAGCAAGGTCAGGGGGTGGGGAATGGTAAAGAGATGAGGGAGAAATGCCTTTTTTATATCAGGTTGTTGGGAAAGACTTCATTGATAAGGTGACAAAGGAGAACCTGAAAGAAATGAGAAAGCAACCCATTGGATACCTAGGAGAAGAGCATTCCAAGTAGAGAGTAGGAACATGCTCAACAGGGTCTAGGAAGAGCCAGGAGTCCAGGAAGGAGCGAATGAGGGGGAGAGAGGTCAAAGATAAAATGGGGTGGGTACATCATATCGGTCAATGTTTTACAAATTATCACCATGACTTACTTTTAAAAAGGATCACTCAGGGTACTATATGGAGAATGGTAGTGGGGAGGAATGGAAGCAGTTATCAGCCTATTTCAGTGGTCCGAGTAAAAGATGATGATGGCTCAAACTAGGATAATAGGGATTAGTGTAGTGAGAATTGTCATATTCTGGTGTATTTTGAAGGATGACCTGTCATCAGTGGTGGGTTGGATGTAAGTCTGAAAAGAAGGTAAAGAACTGGGAGTTTGAGAATCAGACCTGGCAGATTTGCTAGTCTAGAGTGCTCTTCTGCTGGGAAATGCATGCTCAAGAACTCAGGCTAAAATGCTACAAAGTAAAAATGGACACTGCTCTTCAGAATTCTAGTTCTGGTTTATTGCAGAGTAATAGTATGTTAGCTTACATTAGAAAAACCTCAATGATCTACTGTGAAAATACTGACTAAAGTGGATCCTTGCTCGAAAATGCCAATTTTGGGTAAATCACATACATGTGAAAATTGAAGCCTCTAATTTCTAACTGGCTATAGTGTTACATTAAACTAAAGTGACCTCTACGTAAACAAACAAAAGATCGAATTTGATAATTCCTATCAGATATAGTGACACAAATTAGGAATTCAGTGGTAGTTGTTCCTATGAACTCAGATATCTATTTTAACATAATAACTGTCTTTTCCTATTCTTAAGGATAAAACAAAGTCTTGGTTAGAAAGTCCAACAGTATAGCCATTCCTCAGCTCTATAAGGACTGTTGACATTTCTGCCTCTAGTTCACAGATGATTTCCTCCGTGTCTGTAAATAACATGCTTGTAGTGCTATTTCTTGCTTTTTCAATTTTAGGGATTATCTACAGACTCTTTTATGATACTTGAGATTTAGCCTACTAACATCCCCACCGTCCTGTTTCTCCTCTTCTCCCGTTAAAGTTATAACCCAGTATAGATTGTTCCTCTTTGTTAAATTTACATGAGTAAATTTAAGTGATATATTAAACATTCCATCAACACTGAACAGCATTTCTTGTGAGGGTTTTATCAACACTTCTGACCTTTTCTCAACCTCGCCTCCCTTCTTTGTACCTCCCAGTCCATTTTGTTAAAAAAGCATTCTGCTTGGCAGGTTGGATTCTTGTGGGGATGTAATTGAAAGAAAGGATGCCCCTACACCTGCTTCTCAAGAAGCTACTGAAATTCCATCTCTCCAGGAAAGCTTTTTGGGACCTCATTGGGAAATGAGAGCTGTGTCTACAATCCTATTAACGAAATGATAGCCCACAAGTCCATGAACTCTTAACTCAATGGATCTTTGGCCTATTGGGTGTTAACAGCTAGAGGGGAGAATAATCAGCTTTGGCAGTGCCCTAAACAAGCTGAGGTTTATTTACTTTTCCCATGCCCTTTCAAGCCAAAGTCTATAAAACTGCTTTAGTAATAAAACTCCTGTGAGAGCTCTCCAATAGAATTAATAACATCACAATGAATTTTCAAGAGAATGTACCTGAGATTTATTGTTCACTTCGAACTTCATATGGATTAGTAAGTTGATTTAAAAGCAACTCATTCGTTTTGAAAGGAACTGTATGTATCTTGACGGTTATTGATAGAAGGTGATGAGCTGGGGAACGAAACACCCCTGCCACCTAGTGGTTACTCATTCTGAAACACTGCAAAGCACTGTTGTATCTTTCAAAGCACAACAGAAAAGGAACAGTACAGGAAATATCCTGGCAATGTCCTGAATCTGGGAAACTTCTGTTCCCTCCTCCCATGTTAGAAAGAGATGGTAATGAACTTTTTTTAAATAGTCAAAGACAAAACAAGGTATTAGTGGATTAGCTTCTGAGAGCTGTTCTCCCTTTGTGAAATCAGAATTAACAGAGCACTGACCAAGGGAGAATATTGTAGGTGAACATGGACAGCTACCAGATCTCTAGTATGAAGTAGCGATTCTAGAAGGAAGCAAGAAGTACAACAAATGAGCAGAGAGGGACCACAGTGAGGCAGGACCCACAGTGGTCATTATAGCAGCAGCACGGGTCCAGAAGCAAAGCAGAATCAATAAGGCCAGCAGGGACAGTGATGATCAAATCACATCGATTCAGGATCATTGGTCAGCAACAGCTCTGGAGACCGTGGTCATGGGACTGCAGTACTGCTTGATTCAGGGTAAACTAATCAGGACACTCGAGGAACAACAAAAGTAATTAACATTTATGGAACACATCTGGGCAGTGCATTACATGCATTATAATAGTCCTGTGGGGTAAATATTATCAGCCATTTTCTACAGATGATGAACTTGAGGCTAACTAGTCCAAAGTCACAGAGCTAATGAGACTTAGAGCCAAGATTTGAACCCAGGTGGTTTGACCGGAGGGTCTGAGCCCTTAACTCATATAATTTCCTGCTTCTCTCAGGGAGAGAGCATGAGGTTCAACTATTCTAAATCTACTGACCCTCATATTGAGGGATGGTTGTGAAGTGGAATTCTGAGGTGGTTAAGGTCTGGTCCTAGGTCTGCCACCTACTTGCAAGAGGATATTTAACCTTTTAGGAACTACTTTTTCCTAGTTGTAAAACAGGAACAAAATGGCGACTACTTAGTAAGTTGCTGTGAAGATTTATTGAGATAATGTATAATATCTGACATATGGCAAATGAGTCAGATTGCCTACAAAGATGGTTGCCAACAATTCTCATCATCGTTAAGTACCACTCCTCCCAACAAGGGTTAGAATCTATTTCCCTTCCCCTAGAATTTGAGCTAGGCTTATGATTTGCTTTGACAATTCAGTAACGTGGCGGATATTTTGTTGGCTAGTACCAAGCCTGGGTCTTAAGAGGCATGGCGGCTTCCATTTTTGCTCTCTTGGACTAAGTACCACTATGTAAGGAAGCCCAGCCTATAGTTTTATATGGTAAGAGACCACATGGAGAGAGATGCATCAGGGAGCCAGTGTCACAGCTGAGCCCACCGTCTGAATGCAGCTGTATAAGTGAGTCTAGCAAGACTAAAACTACCCACGGTATCACAAGAAATAATAAATCATTATTGCTAAAAATACTAAGTTTTGAGATAGTTTGTTATGCAGCAGAAAGCAAGTCCTTAGTAAATGGTATCTATTAATATTATTGTTGGTACAGGTGAGGGATTCAGCTAAATACCTGATACATCTCATGTCACTGATTTTTTCCCCCTTTCACTGGAATAGGTGGAGAAACAAGGCTTATATGTGCAGATGAACATTGCTTATTACAAATATGTATTTTCATTAAAACAGCATATTGCTATATATCTTACTCAGAAAGATTTGTTAGCATTTCTAATTGCCATTTCAAATACATTTTAAATAACATAGAAGCATATTTCTTTAAACATTTACAATTCAGACTTTTCAGTAAATCTGTCATGATGGGACCTTCCAAAGCCTTTATGTTGAAAGATTTGAGGCATCAACAGAGATTTACTTTTTAATCTAGCATCTCAAAGCCCCGAGAATGATACTTTAACCTTCATCTCCTTTATATCCTCTTTCCTAAATCCTTCCTTTTTCTGTATACATATCCCTTCCCTTCTCACCATGCCTCTCCTATCTCTTTTCTTTACCATGATGATTAAATAAGATCTTCCCTAATGAAATGTAAGCTCCAGGAAGACAGTGCTTCATCTATTTTGTTCTTTATGGAAAATTCTTTGCTTAGAACAATGCCTGGCATACAGAAGGTGTGCAATGAATGTGTGTTGAATGAATTAAATAATGCATGTAAAAGCACTTAGAAGAGTGTCTGGCATATAGTAGATGATGCTCAATAAATAACGTATGATAGTTCAGTACTGTGACAAATGAGATCATTCACATTTATCTTTAAAGTGTTTTATTTCATTTAGTCTTTCTCTCTTTTCTTTCCAGTCTTTGTCCTTTTCTTTTCTTTCTTTTTCTGTCTGTACATCTTCTCTCCTACCCTTACTTGTGGCCTGTCAGGGAACCTCACAGATATTGTTTTGCCTTACTTCAGAGGATGTGCAGAAAAAGATTCTGGAACTTCATCTTGGATTAAATGTAATTATCTGTGATCTACAGCTGACTTAGGACTTCACATAAAATTCTGCTGTTTAGGCAAGTCCAATTCTGGTGCTACTGAATATTTTAATGATGGCCTAGATTATGGAAAACAGCAAGCTTATTAAATTATAGCCTAATAAATGCCTGACTGTATATTTCTGAGCATGTGGGTGTTTTTAGTGCCTTTTGGTGAGTAACTGTGCTACTCTTGACAGTAGAAATGTGAGCAAAACCAAGTGGAACTGATTTAGCCAATTTTCTCTCCCTCTTTTTTCTCTAAGGAAATGGAAATGTACTACCATGCAGTGGACCATTTCTTTCTCAGGCTGGTAAATCCCCATTGAAATGCAAACTGAACTGGTAGAAATCAGATTCCCATATCCTCTCATAAGCTGTTTGTCAAGGTAAATCCCCTCCCCTACATTTTAAAATCATGACTTCCCAGGGCTAGATGGGAAAATAAGGAGCTTTGGACCTATCACTAGAACCCGTTATTCAGTTGTCTCAATTTCCTGGGTTAGTCACTCATGTAGGAAGATTTCTTTCCTCTTTCCTGGTAGTCTTTCAGATTCAAATCAGGAGTTTCATGAATCTGTAGGCCAGTGGCTGGGTAGGTAGGGCTGAGTACAAAACAGTATTGATTCAGTTCTCAGCACAGCCTTGTTTATGTTTCAATTAGGCTAATAGGTAGCTCAGACCTCTTAGCCCTGCTAATGTTTAATCAAGTCCTGTTATATAGTCATATAACATATATTCCTGCATATATTCTTCCATCACATAAGACCAGTGTTTTAAAAACCAATTAGTATTTTATGTGCAGATGAACCTGTGAACCTCCTGTCATCTTTTCTCTTTTTTTTCCACTTTTCATCTTTTCTCAAAATTGTTTTTAGCCACTCTATTTTTCTCCCTTCCTTCAAATATCTGATCATCTTATAAGCAATAATTTACCAGTCTTCTTTACTAGTTAACCAACCTAGTAAAGCAACCTAGACTAAAGTAGGAGGATTTTGAGGTATTCGGACCATCAATTTTCAAACATGTTAACTTAATTGGCGCAAAGGACACCACAGTACACCTAATATACCCCATTTGTTCCATTTCTGGTGGCAAAAGAATTTGATGATAAAGAATTAGGAACAAAATAGGAACCTAGAATGGCAGCATAATAATGTTTATGCATGAACAATATAATCAAAAACAAACACATTTTATTTGTGAAGTAACATATACCAGAAGGGGTGAATTTGAAACTTAAGACACTGAAGTCCTGAGGAAATAAAAAAAGCATCCTTCTTGAAAACTGTGGAAATTCTAGAAATGTATGTTGTCACACGTGCAGTAGGAAATTTGCATAATTGCCAAACTTTCTGTGGCAACCAAAGTTTTCAATAATTGTCTATGCTGTACTTTTTTTTTGGTGAACATGAAATTTTAATCACTCTTAATAATTAATGAGGAAGCTATTAAATACTTAGTCATGTAAAAATGAAAGTCCCTGGCCTTGCATGGCATTCTCTCTAAGAGTTGAAAAGAGAACTTGCATATTTTGATCTTTTCATGGTTCATTAGGAAGACTAATGGGCCACAACTAAACTTGGAAACATGCTGGCCTAAATGACTGTGATAGTCTTATTCCTGAGCCTTTTCTGCTCTTGTGTTCTTGAACCTGCAACTTTCTTCTAACTTGCTGATTTCTACATTAAAATGATCACTCTACTGGCAGAAGTATAACGAATGGATAAAACCTTTCCAGGGAGTATTTGGCAACAGGTTCAAAGTCTTAAATGTGTATCCCTGTTGACCCGGCAGTTCCATTCCTAAAGAAATAATTGTGAATATTAACAAAGATGCATGTATAAAGGTGTGTATTACAGCATATTTAAAAAATATTTTTTATGTTAGAAAATTGTTCACAACATTAATTTTTAAAAGTAGGGCATATAAAATATAATCTTTTTTTATCTAAAGATGTATATCCATGGAAAATGGCTGGAGGTATATATTATACAATATTAACATTGATTTTTTTGTAGTATTTTCTCAAATGTCTACGATAAATATGTATTCTGTAATAAGAAAAGAAAATATTTAAATATACTTGAAACAGAAACATCACGTTGGTAGCAGTGATTAGAAGAAATACAAATGAGGGAGATTGGATGATAGGTTATTGCAGTAGTTCAGGTAAAAGACTAAATGACTAAGAACCAACGATATGGCAATGTGGATAGAGAAGGAAAAGCTGGTCGAAGACATATTCAGTAATCCTGTGAGAACTATAAACATATATCTCAGCTTCAAGTAAGTAGTAAAAGCGGTCTTTGAAAAGAGCCAACATGATTCATTTATATCCTAATGGTGCCTTTAAATATGCATTTAAAGAAACTCAGAGCCAACTCTGGTAATCAGGTTTACCTTTTCTGGCTGAATGTTCAGCAAAGTTAGTAGATGTCCAGTTGACCAAGAAAGGGAATGTAAAAGGTGGACTAGAGTGTGGAGGGAGGGAATAAATTCAATTTTGGACATGTGGAGTTTGAGGGGTTTGTGGGACATGTACTAAGCTGTGGGCTGAGTCTGAAGCTCAGATGTGGTCAGAGATGTAGACATAGAGAGCATCAGTATATGAATGATTGTTAAAACTGGGTGGTTGTTAAGGTTGCCTGGAGAGTGAGTATACAATGAGAAAAGGACTGAGAAGGGAACCCAGAGGAAGCATAACAGTTCAGGGCAGGACAAGGAGAAGGTGGCCACTGAGAATTTTGAGGAGTGATAAGCTAGGCTAGCCTTAATAATAGGCGAATCCAAGTTTAAAACCTGACAAGATTGCTTTCATTTTAGCTTACTACCAGATTTGCAAGCAAGCACTGCAGTTGGCACAGGAAATGAGAATGAAAGTGAATGAGTAGACTCTGGAGTTTCTTCTGCTCCTCATGGGCATGTGACCAAAGTTCAGAGGTCAGTGCAGTCCCTCTCAAGTCTTATCTGCCACTCACTGCCCATCGGGCTGGGGAAGGGGCCAGCTGTTCTCATGGCAATTCCTTGCTGTGTTCTCTCTTCCCACTGCCTCTCCACCCGCATTAGGCTCAGCCATGGCATACCAAAAATGGCCAGAGAGATTCAGAGGGACAAGGAAGTTAAGCGGGGAGAGAATTTCAAGGAAGTAATTGTCAATATCAGATTCCAGAGAAGTCAGATAATTTAAGTGCTAAAGAGTTCCACTACATTTGTCAATTTTGAGGTTCTTTGCAACCATACACATAGAGTATCACCAAGCTCAGATTCCCATGAAAGTCATTTTTGATCTCATGAAATATAATAAAAGTATTTATTTTAGCTATGGTATTTTCTTACGGCAGCATGAGCTGACTAAGACATACACCCTGCCAGACTCCTTCATTCATGGTAATTTTCTCTTAGTGTCCCTAATGTCTCTCCTAACGCAAGCCTTTTTAAGCAATTCCCCTATCCATTATACAAGGTTGTATATCCTAGTTGTGGGCTGTATTCAACATCTCTTCCATAGGGCTCTTGTGTTCCCATACACATCAAGGGATGTGGCTGGATACCAGTTTCATTGTCTTTGAACTTTTTCAACAGGTGAAAAGACTATTTGGATGTTGGTCTTCCAAGAGCACTTCTAGATGACTCAGGTCTATCAGGGTTGTTTCCGACTCACAGAATGCTCAGTTACCCTTAAGTGGCAAAGTAGAAGAGACACATTAAGGAGGAGGGAAGTATGAGAGTCTAGAACAGAATTGTAATTACTGGGTTTTATAAACAAGGTATATGTTAGAGTCAACAAGGCTTAGACTCTTCTGTAGGGATAAGGCAGCTCCAATCTTGTGTCTTTTGGGCTAGCCTCATTGGGGCCCCAAACCAAAGCATCATAAATATCCATATCTTTTTACATCTGTCATTGTTTATTATTTGGTTTTCCATGTGACCAGAAAGAGTCAGAGGCAAACTAAGCATGAAAGCAGTATCACACTGGGAAAATATCACCTGAAAGTGCTGGGTGAATGTTCCTGGTATATTTGTGAGTAACCCTTTATTTCCCATCAGCACATTTGGTTCCTGAACTGCTTGTGCCTCACTGCCCTGTTCAGTGCATTTTCATTGTTTCCTCATACCAAGACCTTAGATTCATTTATATAATGCAAACTGATGACCATGGTGAGATTGTCCCTTCCTCTGGTGATAATGATCTTGTCACACCAGGTTGCTATTTCATTGGAGCATGAAGAAAATTATGCTGATTGAGACTGAGCTGGACTGAAACAAGGATTTTACTAAAAGTCTCTTAATCTTCCTGCATAACGCCACAGAGGGTGCTTAAAACTGGGAGTTATCTGAATGCCCTGCCTTCTTAGAGTTAATCTGTAACGGAAGTTGCTAATGGGCAGCCCCTGGGTCAGATGTATTTTGTTTGTTCTACCCCAGGTTTGGAATTGTTGCTGGAAATGTTCTTGTCTTACTCTACCAGAAAGAATTCAAGAGTAAGGCGAATGGCTGTAGAGCGTGGAGGGGTCCAGTGACTGGGTTCTTGTTTTATTACACAAGAAAGAATGCAAAGGCAAGGCAAACAGCAAGCAAGAAAGCGCAAAGTTTATTAAAGCGAAAATACACACTCAAGCGCGGGCAGTGCAGGCTTACTCGAGAGAAAGAGAGACACGCGAGACGGCTGGATTATGAACTTTTGTTTTCCCTGAAGATGATGCTGAGTAGCTTTGTTGTTTCCTCCCAGTAGTCAAAGAGCTCAGTTCCAGCTTTTTCTTCCTCATATGGTGTTTCCTGAGCTGCCATGAGGGGCATGATGGGAGCTGCAGTATTTACAATGCAGATGAGATGATAGTGATATTATAATTAGCCAAAGGTCATGCCTTAGCCAAAGATGGCATCTAGTTTGGAAAGGACCAATTTTGGCTTTTCCCCCTTCTGCCAGGGCTAAAACAGGGAGCGGTCTGAAGAAAGGAAAAATTTCCAGAGCTATGTCCTAGAGGGGAAGGGAGTGTTCCTGCACTACCTGTCCTGCCTCTGAATTAGTTGCCGACATTTAAAAATAGGGATATTTAACATCTAGGTTTTCTGCTTCTCTTTAAAACTAGAAGATCTGGAGTGTTGGATGTGAATCCCCTCCTGGAAATGAGTGGCTGATGTCGAGTGGATCACTGCCCTTTAGTGGGACATGGGCCCTCCAGATTGCCCATCTCTACTGTTGCACACATTTATGTTGGCCACTATAAAGTCACTTAGTTAGTGTCCCACTGTCTCTAGGAAGGACAAGTAGGGGAGGAAAAACCTTTTTTTTCCCCCCCTCTACCTGCATGGGCTGGGCCGGTGAATCAGACTGGTAATAGATTAACAAAAGAAAAAGCCAGTTTTAATTACATAGGTACACATGGGAGTTTCACAAAGAAATGAGACTCAAGGAGATGACTAAGATACTTGAGGTTTATATACCATCCTAGGCTAGACAAAGGAAAAGGGGCTTCTGGGTGGAAGAGGCAAGTTATGGGAAGGTAAGGGGAGGAAATACATGGTAAAGATGGGTTCTCTGGTTATGCAGGTTAGAGTCTCAAAGGGTCTCCTCATCCAGAGACCCTTTTATGGATGGAAATTTCCTTTATAAATGTAAATTTTCTTTACAAAAGGGGAAATTTATACTCTATTTTTAGGCAGTTGGGGTTGCTAAAGAGCTTTTCTTGCTGCTGCTGGTTCTTAATTGCCTTTAGCTCAAAATGATCTATATGCAAAAGAGGCTATTTTGGGATGACTTCCTGGTACCCTTCAGAAGGAAACTAGCCTAATTATTGGGTTCCTTCTGTGCAGGAACTACTCTATCTGTAATTTGCACATATGAAATTTGAGCTCCAAAATTATAGGGACCATGCCCCAGGTAAATTGGCTTTTCATTGTTTGTAAACACCCCTTGTAGAATTCACCTCCAACCTTTGTCCAAGCTGTTTCTTCTGCTTAGAATATAGCCCTCCCTTTTCCTATAAATTCACATTCTACCCATTTCTCTTTCTTTCTCTCTCATCTCTCCCTCTCCCCTTTTTTCTTTCTAACTTTTTTTTTTAAAAATAAACTTTCCAAAGGAAATTCCTGAAAAGTATTGAATTGCTTTCATTCCTGAGCATTGTGCTCTGTGGAAAGTGATTAGAAGACTAACCTGCTGGAAGTTCAAGAATGGAAGAGCTAGAGAAAGTGCCCACTGTAAAGAGTACATAAAAAAGTGAAACACTTTCTTGTCTTCTCTTTCCCCAGTTCTTACCCCCAGAGACATTGCAGTTACCAGTATCTTTTTTTTCCCATTTTTTTAAAGGCCCAAGTGAAGTCTCATAGTTTCAAAATAGAGGCACTTAACAGAGCATTTAAAAATCCTGCACCTTAGACCCTTAAATCAGAATTGCTGAGGGTGGGACCATGGCATCAATATTTTGGCAAGTTCTCCACGTGATCCACAGCAAGGACTGAAAATTAGTGTGAAGTCTTCCTGATCAGAAGGCACTGAGCTCTCCCATGGCCCTTTTGGTCTATGTCACACAATCTGGCTGCTTGTGAACTCATTAATAGTGGGAGCCTGTGGCTTGCTTTGTGATGCTCAAGGAAGAGAATGTCTCTAGTTTAGAAAGGCAGTCTGTATATCCCTCCCACCCTTTCTCTTCCCAAATATGGAGAGTATTGGTTCTTTAGTGTACATCACGTTCACCTGGAGGGCTTATTAGACCGCAGGTAGCCGGGCCCCACCCCAGAGTGTCCCAATCAGTAAGTTTGGAGTAGGGCTTGTCAAGATAAGAAACATCCAAACCTATAGAGAATTCTTATAAGTTTATTTGAGCCAAACTGATGACATATGTTGGGGAGCAAGATCTCAAATGCTCCGGAAAATAACAGTTGTGCAGTTTCTTTAATGCATTTGAAATTAAGGAAGGAACATAAGGAAAATTACATGAAGGTGGGAAAAAGCAAGACAAGGATTGGATTACAGGATAGTTAAGATTATGTGCTCTCCTGAGGTGGTTATAGTTTATTTCAAAAGTGTGTTAACCTAGATGCACAGAAATAATGGATGGGGTTTGCTTATGGCAAAGATAAACCTTTCACTAAAAAGTTGTATGCCTAGGGCATGATGACCCACCATGACCTGCCCAGTTAGGAATTTATAATCGGATCACTCTTTACTTTCCATAGAATCCCCCCCCCCCCCCCCCGCTTTTTTTTTTTTTTTGTCCACAGGCCCAAGAATCTGCATTTCTAATAAATTCTCAGGTGATTCTGTCACTGTTGATCTACAGACTACACCTCAAGACTTGTTGACTAAGAGGACACGCACTAAGGAAGAGAGCCCAGATGGGCCTGATATGCCTCCTTGTGATTGAAGAAAACCTAATAGAATGGACACAGAAGTAAAGGCCAGCTGGAAACATTGCATGAAATTTACTAACTGGTGGCCCATACTCCAAATCACATCCATGGATGTTTTTTCTAGGGTCATACAATGTTTTCCATTAAAAAAATTAGTTAATATTTAAAAGTTAGGGACTTACACATATACATAGACAAATATTTCAATTTTTCAAGAACAATAGGTTTGCAAAAAGGGGCCCAGTTTTCTACAGGGGAACATTCAACATTAACTAACAAGGAGTAGCTGCCCTACTCTCCCAAACGAGCCCAGTCCCCAGCCAACCTTCCAAATGAATATTGTCATATGAGTGAGCCCAATTAAAACTAGCAGAAAAACTACCCAGCAAACCTATAAAACAGTGAAAAGTAATATATTGTTGTTGGTTTAAGCTGCTAAGTTGTAGGGTGACTTGTTATGCAGCAAGAGCTGATATAAAATTGGTAGAGTCTCCACTGGCCTGGTTTGTTCAATTATGTGACTTCCCTGGCCCCTGTAGGAAGTGAATTTCCAGCCTGGGCCTTACTTGAAGAACACTCAACAGACTTGAAAGCCTTTTATATATCCATTATCCCAACATTACATGGTCAACTGGTATTAAACCTCCATTTTGTAGATGAGGAAACAGGACTAGCAAACTAAGAGACATCCCTAGAGCCATATAGTAACAGGGCAGGATAAGGACCAATCACTTTTCACTTCTACTTAAGTACTTTTTTCCCCTCTTCCATCTAGGCAATCAACTGTTAGTTTCTTCAGGCCAATTAACCGAACAGCCACTAAAGCCAAAATCTAAATTAACGGGACACAATGTTTTCAAGAAGGGGAACCCTCTATCTAGTCTTTATTTATTGACAATATTATCTGTAAAGTGCCTAATATAGTGACTAGTACATAAAAGAGCCTTAATGAGAGATAGTTACTCTTACATGATGTGCTCTGTTTCTACAGCATCCCATGATGCCCTTTTCCTTCTTTCCTACTCTCCATAACCCTGGCTGGATAATTCCATCTATCCTCTAAGATCTGGTACATTTTCTATATCTCTATTACAGCACATAAACACACTGTGTTATATATCTTTTTACATGTCTCTCTACTCAGACCTTGGGTGCTTTAGTTTCAATGGATTATGGATTCTTTTTTTATTTCCAATCTCTCTAGCACAGGACCTGGCTGAATAAATGCTGATTGAAATTGAATAGATTGAATAGAATCAATCGCACGGTTGCAAGATGCATTCAATCATATTCTAATCTGATCTCTATAGTAATCATCCTATGAAACAAGATTATTATTTATATCATTATAGTCATAATAAAAATGAGGAAACAGAAGCTCAGTATCCCGAGAATTTCTTTCCTGTTGGTGATACTCAGGTGATACTTGCCAGGTTTTCCATCAAACAGTTGACTGTTTTCTTTGCTTTCTTTCCTTTACAATGTCTGCAGAGTTTTTACTTTAATGGCAGAGCCTAAGCCTTATGTAGATCTCTGTCCCTAGCATGAGGTATGGAAGGAGTAGACACGCAGTAGGTGATGATTTGAATTTAATTTCCACTTCTTTATGTTAGAAGCCATGTCTGTTACCACTCTAGGGAAATATTTGAAAGAGCTGTTTAAAAGTTGCTTATGGGTAAGTCTACTTTCATTCTGTCTGAACATATACTCTCAGTCTTTATCATGGATCTGATGCCTTGGAGAGAGAGAAACAGACAGAGACAGAGACAGAGACAGAGACAGAGACAGAGAGACTTATATCTTCGAGAAGAGGACATGGGAAATTGCAGGGTAACTGGACCCTGCCTGAGAGAGAATTCTTTCTTTGTGCTAACACCAGAGAAATGCAGGGCTGTTATGTGAGGAGCACTTATACTCTTTGTATATCAGGAAAGGCAGAAAAGAGAGGACTAAAGTTCAAGAAAAGGAGTTAGAAGGAGCCAAGTGATTGAAATCAAAAGGAACTGGCCAAGAAATATGAGAAATGGAAAGGAAGGAAAGGCTGAGAAGGTGTTCTGTCGATAGCATTTAAAAAAAGTAAGGAATGCAAAGTGACCTGCCGTGAAGGAGCCACAAGATACCATCTGTATTCTTTTCCCTGTGAGACACTTTCTTCTGAAAATGATTGTCATCATCAAACTCCAAACACCACTGCAGTATTTTGTTGGTGGTATTTCTTTTTAAAATGTAGACTGTAATTTTATTTTCAGAATTTGATTAATCTGTGATAACATTCTGGTATTTTATAAAACGAAAATATGCTAACCATTCTGTCAAGAGAGATAATAACTCAAGAAGCTAGGATTTATTTTCCCCCGTCATCATGGTTGCTGATTTCACTAGGGAATTACCCACATGTAGGAAACGTTTCCTGGTATTAGCATTGGGTTTCATATCATGTTTTGAGCTAATATGATTTTCTGGTCAAGAGCCATTTGTGTCTGAATAAAAATGACAGCTATAGTAACAGTTTGTCATATTCTCCTTGCAGCAATTCCTTTTGCTCATGAGTCTGTTGTTATTGAAGAAGAATTTAGTTGTAGGTAAATGACCCTTGCCTTCTGTCTTTAATTGAAACTCAGCCTGCCACAGTTAATATGTTTCATGACTCAATAAATCTTGGAAGAAAAACCCAATGTTCTATAAAAGCAAAGGGGAAAAAATTAATTGGTTTCAGCACACATTTTCCTATGCAAAGAATTTCTTGCTTTCATACAGAAAGAGCTTTCTTGACATTCTTTTTTTGCGTAATCTTCCACACTTTCTTACCCATACTGATTCAGTTGTGTACAATTAGTTCTGTTTTGAGAAGAAACCTTTGGTTTATTTGGAAGGGTATCTGAAACCTATAATCACTCTCAGAGTATGGAGTATGGGCTTGATCTCCGTATTAGGAAAAGAAGTGTAAGAGAACCGCACTGAAAGGGCTTTCTACCCCATTGTGTTGCTTTAGTATTTCTTTGTAGCATGGACCCGACACAGGCACCCCAATGATTTGAGAGAGAAATTCAAGTTGTATTGGTTAGTTATTGCTACATAACTAATCACCCCACAACTTAGTGGTGTTAAACAGAAAATTTTCACCACTGAAAGTTTTTCTGAAAGAAAGGTTTTATTGAGCCAAAAGCTAGTGAAAACAAATATAAGCAAACAAACACAGGTCATAGGGTATGAAGTGTAAAACACCAGCAGCATGGGTTGGTGCAAAAGACAAGCATGTCCATAGTCCTGGAGTTGATGTAACTTTGGGGAGGAAAGATGTAATTGTTTTGAAAGAATTTACATTGGCTACAGATAAGGGGACAGGATAAGGCGAAGTGGGGGTAGTTCTATCATACGAGCATAATGGTCTGTAAGGAAGAAATATTTACTGTTTTTGATGGGTTATAGACAACAGTCCTAAAAGTTCATGCATCCTTTTATATGGTGTCTAGTGATCAGCTAGTAAGTGCCTGAATGTTGATTCAGAGCTCCAACATACATTCTGGAATGTGAGCAGTATTTTGTCAGCTGGTCCTCAGCTATTAACGGGCTAACTGCTCTGCCTCTTTCTCTCACTCTCCAGCCAGCTGTGATTTAATTTAGAATATCTCAGAACTTTTTTTCCTTGTCAGTGGCTTAAACCAACAACAGTATTTTGCTTTTCACTATTTTATGGGTTTGATGGGTAGTTTTTCTGCTGGTTTTGTCTAGTATCACTCATATGTCTACATTCATTTGCAAGGTTAGCTGGGGACTGGGTTCATTTGGGATAGCAGAAATGGCCCAGCTTCTCTTTCCATGCAGTATTTCATTTTGGGCTTCTTCATACCGTGGTGGTCTTGGGTTTTAAGAGGATGAAGGTAGAAACTATAAGGCCTCTGGGACTTACACAATATCACTTCTACCAGATTCTATCAGCCGAAGCAAGTCTCTCAAGATCAGCTCAGATTTGCGGAATGGGGAGTCTACCACTTGCAAGAAGGAGAGCTAAAATTTTGTGGCCAGGTTTTTCAATCTACCACGTGGCTTATTATCTAGGAGAGAGTTATTAGGATATTTGGGGCTGGGAAGGGTGGCACTATCTGGGTTTGTGGCTTAGAGATAGTTACCAACTCAGACAGTTGTTCCTAAAGTGGAGTGTGTATGAGAGAAGCTCGATGTGTACATGTGTGCTTCTATAATTGTATTCCAAAGTCAATCCATATTATACTAGTTTGGTAAATTGCCTAAAGTCTCATTTCCTCATCTTTAAAATGTGAATAGTAATAGTGCCTCTCACATAAATTGTGAGGATTAAATAAGAGAGATAATAAGTGGACAGTGCTTTGTACAGTTCCTGGCACATGGTAGGTATTCAAAGGAGTGATAGCTAATTTTACTTTTTAATTTTTAAATTTTAAATCCTTAGCTATTTTTGTTTGTTTGCTTTACATTCCTTGCAGGAAAATAAAAAAATCTAGAAAAGCAAAAAAGAGGAAAAAATATTTCAATTTACACAATAGCTTACCACCCAGACTAACTGCTATCAATCTTTTGATGAAATTCATCAATGCATGTGTACATATGAATAAGTATGTGTTAGAGAGAGAAAGAGAGAGACAGAGACAGAGAGTGAGACAGAGATTTGTGAGTATTTCTAGTTAGATATAAATAGGAAATTTTAAAACCACAGAAATACCTGTTACTTTTTATTATTTGTAACCTTCTGAACCTAGCATGCATGTAGGGCAGGAAGACTGCAGTGTTAAGTAATAAAGTAGTCCCCCTTATCCGCAGTTTTCCTTTCCCAGAGTTCAGCTACCTGCAGTCAACCGTGGTCCAAAAATATTAAGTGGAAAATTCCAGAAATAAATAATTCGTAAGTTTCAAATCATGCGCTATTCTGAGTAGTGTGCTGAAATCTTGAGCCATCCTACCCCAGGACATGACACATCCCTTTGTCCAGTGTAACAACACTGTACACACTCCCGCCCATTAGTCACTTAGTAGCCATCTTGGTTATTAGATTGACTGTCGCGGTATCACAGTGCTTGTGTTCAAATAACCCTTATTTTACCTAATATTGGCCTAAAATCACAAGAATAGTGATGCTGGCAATTCGGATATGCCAAAGAGAAGCTGTAAAGTGTTTTGTTACGTATAGTATGGTCAGAAGGTCAATAGTAGCCTAATGCTACATCACTCACCTCACTTCATCTCATCACATAGGCATTGTAGAATCTCACATCATCACTAGAGAAAGGGCAAGTACAGTACAATAAGATATTTTGAGAGAGAAGGAGACTACATTCAGATAACTTTTCATTACAGTATATTGTTTTGATTTTTCTATTATTAGTTATTGTTCTTAATCTTTTACTGTGCCTAGTTTATAAATTGAACTTTATCGTTGGTACGTATTATAGGAAAAAACACTATATGTATGTATATATATATACACATATATAAATACATACAGGTATACATATATACATATATACATACGTGTGCGTGTGTATATATATATACACACATATATATACATGTTATGTATTATAGGAAAAACACTATATGTATGTATATATATACACGTATATAAATACATACATGTATACATATATACATATATACATACGTGTGTGTGTGTGTGTGTGTGTGTGTGTGTGTGTGTGTGTGTATATATTCGGTACTATCCACAGTTTCAGGCACCCACTGAAGGTCTAGGAACATATCCGCCATGGATAAGGGAGCACTATTGTACTCGACTCACAATCTGACATTTTAGTCTTCCCTATATCCCAGATATCAGGGCACCAGCTCATACCTGTTATTACCAGAGCTGAATTTCCTGGAGTGAATCTAGGAAACGCCAGGCTCCTGAGATGCTCGGAGAAAGAAAGTTTCCTTGGTCAAATAAATTAGAGAAATGCTGCATATTCTCTTCCAGTCTTTGAGAATCACAGATGCTCATTTGTGATTAAATATTAAATTAATTAATATCTACTAAATTAAATATGTGATTAAAGCATATTAAAGGCTCTGAGAAGTCTTGTAAAGCACCCTATTTCACTTTAACCCCAAATTTCCCCAATTATAGTGAATTTTTAATTTTATTTTTAAAAATAATACAGAGTGAAATTAACTTTTTTTTGATAACAGTTCTATGAAATTTCATACATATATAGATTCATGAAACCACCACCACCATCAGGATACAGAACAGTTTCATCACACCCCAAAAC